GCTTCTTTCACTTTTCCTTATACCAATACTTTGATGCTAAAAGATTGATTTTTTTTCTGTAACTAATGTAAGTCTAAGTGATATCTTCCATGGATTATTTATCAGACAGTTTTTCTGTCCTGCATCAAACATATCGCGGTTCCCTTGATATATGTTGGGCCAGATTATCTGTTGCCATTTCATAATATTTTCCTTTCTACCCTTTACGGTCTGTTCATCTGAAAATAGCATAATTGGCGTCATTATTTCTTACAGGTGGCAGACAGTTCAAACACCTTTGTGGCCGCAGTAAATTTTTCTCACTTATGGCAGGCAAGGTGCATTCATCCCAATCTGCAGGTAAGATATCCTCGTTAATCAGTTACTGTTAGGTGCATATGGGACAGAAGAAGTATGATGCGTGGTATTAGAAATCAATCATTTGATTATACTAGTCTTTAGTTGATCTGTTTGGAACTTGTTGCTTCATTTGTTTCAAATGAAAGAAGATTGGAATTGTCTTCCCCAAGAAAGTTCTTCTACAGGAGTATCAATTATTAAAGTAGATGATTCTTTTAGTATTATAGGCCAAAGAGAAGTTTATATATTTGCACCCTAAGTTGAGGCTTCAACTTTTCCGAAAGCTTTTAAGTGGTGAAGTCAGTTTTAGGTGAAATATACTTAAAGTACGGCCATAAATTCTCTTTGTCCCTGTTAGTTTCTTTTTCTTCCTTTTCTCCTCTTTCCTTGCTTAGCTCAAATGTAGAAGATGAACAGCATATGTTTTTCATGAAAATGATATCGCATCCCTGGATGCTGGATCCATAATGGTTTTGCCTTGCCATTACACATATTGGGATGTTGACTGTCACATTTTATGTGCCTGATCCATCAAAAATTAAAAAAAAAAAACCAAAACCGTGAAGGGTGTATATGCTATGCAGAATATAAATGTTTTTTCTCTGTGTGTGATCTGACTGGAATGGCTTGAGTTATTATCGTGGAAAATGTACAAAAAGACATTTGTTCATGTCTATAATAAAATTATACTTTTTCTGATGGGCGTCTGTTTTTTCAGGTCCTAAGAAACAGATTACCAAAACCTTGAAAAGTCTTGTAAGCTTATATTGTACTTCATCCTCAGAAGTAGTATCTGTGTTATTGGAATTCTTGCTGAAGGCTTTAGATTCTTCAAGCGTCCTGGACCTTGCAAAAGAGTCCCAAGAAGGCCAAGATAAACATGCTTCATTGCATGATTGGCAGCTTGTGATAACAAAATTTTCAAATAAGGAACCAGAATTGCTTCTGGCCCTTCTTCAGAGGATTCTTGATATGATTGGGACAAAGGAGGCATCAAAATATGAAACAGGTAAATAGGTAATTAATGACTCGATTGTATGTCCCTTTTGAATGTTACCTATGTCTTTGCACGCTGTCTTCTAGCATATTGAAAGACCACTAAATAATTCGACCTGTATTTACCCTCTTTATCTTTTTTTTTTCCTTCCTGATTCTTGTTTAGAAGGTCATCTGACATCATCGGAGGGTAAAGAGGAGGCTTGCCAAGTGGAACATCTTTCATCTTTGTTTGCATGGCTGGTCAGACACCTTCTGGAATTAAAGCCTCGTCACAGTAAAGGAAAAAGTATGTCAAATGCAATTCTAATGAAGCTCCTGCTGAAATGTCTCTTGGTGTCATCTTTTACTAACAACCATCTCACGGATTCAGCCCTTCATCTTGCGCAGCTGGTTGAAAACAGTGTTTTGATGGAGAAACTCAACAAACTTCGTTCATTAAGTTTGTCAAGTACAGAGGTTATTGAATAAAATTCTTCACTCGAGATTTCAAATTTTGTTAGTCAGGAAGAGGAATCTATCAATCAAGCAGCTAAGAAGCTAGAACTAGTTAAACGTCACCGTATGAAGAGCATGTTTGTGAAAACAGCAGATGATGTTAGAAGTTCAAACGGATGGGTTGTGGCAAAATCATGGAAACCATGTCCTCTTGGTATGCTGCCTCGTGCTCTTAGGTCTTCTGGTAGTATTCCAGTGCTTGATTGTGATAGTGACTGCCAAAAGGATACGGAGTTAACGGAAGGGAAGAACAGCCGGGAACTTAACCGTTGTAGTGGCAAGAGAGAAGCTGGTGATGATATCCAGTTGCTGGATTTCTCAAGCCCCAAAAAACTAAAGGAAAAGGTAGAGAACCTTGAATCGGGTGGCAAAAATTTTACTTCACCAGGCACCTGTGGCCATCTTATGATGGATGGGGTTCGGAAGAAAGTTGGGGAAACAGAGCTCCAGGCTATTGCTTCTGCTGTAAGGATTTTGGTATAGAAACTGCTCAGTGTTTGCTGTGATCTATTCAAAATTGTATTCAAAGCTCTATTCTAGTTTTATTTATCTTTTCTTAATCGTTCTTTCCAATCCATTTAGTAGACTTTGCCATTGGGAGATGATGAGCATTGTTGTTAAATTCAATGGCAAAAGTCAGAAAACAAAAAAGTACATTTTCTATCAAAGTTAAACTAGTTAAGTGGAGAAAGTTCATTTTTTTTCTTTTTACTTTTTACAAATTAATTGTACTAAACTACTATTTTGTTATTTAAAATTAGAATGAATTGGTCGAGATTGAATCTTGAGATCCAATCATGGTTGACCGAAGAGAGCATACTATTAGAGCTTTTGCCTCTTCCTTTCTCTTCGATCTGCTTATGCTGCCACTCCTGTCATTCTAAGGGTCCATCTCCTTCCCTTCCCTTTTAACTCAAAATTTTTTGTTCCAAACCTATAATTTCTAACCCCCTTTTGTTTTGTTGGGGGGTTTCTTAGTACAGACCATAGATCTATATATGGGTTTTGCAGTCATTACTGCTCTGATTCAGGTACTTCCATTCATCTTCATAAATCCCTGTTTTCCTAGTATACATATTTTTTGCTTGACGTTTAGTGATTGAAAATGTATTGATTTATTATTCAGTGTTTTCCAATTCTTTGCTTTCTCACTATATTTCACACATTGTATCAGTCTACCTTGAAAGTGCACTTAAAAATAGATTAATTGTGATAACAAACTAAAACACAAGTATATATTGAATGAATGAATGAGTTTAAAAGTAATCATACTGAACATTTTGAAACTCCATGAGCACCAGCTTAGAACAGAATGTAAAAAGATTGCTGACTCTTTAAATTGTTGGACCAAGGTCATGTTTCTTTTGATTTTGCTCTGCTACCCTTTATACTTCTTCATCCACCCCATGTTGCAACCCCATTTTTGTTTGAGTAGGTTCTATCCCAATATATTTAATTTTAGTTGCTTTTATGTTCAACAACTTGTTCCGTTCCTAAATCTTTGCTTCCACCGAGGGTCAACAGGTAGATTACATGGCTGTCGTGGGATCATTTCCTTTCAACTCATTTCTTTGTGGAGTGCTTTCTTGTGTTGGATACCGTCCTTGCTGGTAAGTGGACTCTGTATCTTAACTCTTTGCATGGTAAAAGACCTATTCTGATTCTGACACCGGTTGGTTTCATTGGATACAGTTTGTCTTCGAATTCAAGTGAACAAAGAGAACAAGGAATTCAAGGCAAGCTTTTTCATTTTTCCTGTCTTAGACTCCAGTAGTTACCAAGGCAAAGGAGAGAAAGAAAAAATCGAATGATCGTCTCATCCTTCTAAATTCAAATGATTTCAGTTGTTCAAATCTTCCATTCATCTCAACTTTAAACAAATGGTTTTAAATTGCCTTAAAAGTTAAACCCCACAAAATAACCTGTCTTATATTCCAGTAGTATGCATAGGAGTGAACATTCTCTGCGTGTTAAATCCTTAAGTTGATAATGCTCATATGGATTGCAGCATCTACCACCTCAGCGAGCTTTAGCAGATTTTGTTCTTTGCAACTTGGTGCTCCATTTAGTGATCATCAATTTCTTTGAAGAAATCATGCATCTAGGTTTGCTGGACTGCTGTTTCTTTCGGCTTCTGGCGGTGATTCATAGTTGTAGCATGAAATGAAATTCTTAGGTTGTTATTATTAGCTTATGCATCAGCATACATGAAGAGTTCCGAAATTACTTGGAGGGAAACAAAGGAAAATTGAGTGTCAATTTACTTGTTCTGATTACTCTCCGTGATTACCTTTTTGTACAAGGCATTATAGACTTTGGATCTCTCTCCTGTGCACGGTCTGCAAATTCTACCCGGAATTTCTAAAGGGTTACTCATAAAATTTGGTTTCAACTTAAATTCTGCTCAAGTTACTGGCTCATGGCTCTTCTTCAATGATACTGACAAGTTGCATGAATAACAGAGCAGGGGAATTTTCTAACGGTCAGTTGCCATTATAATGCTTAATTCGTGCTCATTTTAAGAGTTGCAACCTAAAAACGAGAAGAGCATAACAAAATTAGCTTGAATTGCATGAGATTTTGATTGATCAATTTATTTATGATAAATTCATAACAACAAATGGAGAACATACAAAAATCATTTTCAAGAAAATACTCTTAAAATATAAACATTTAACGTAATAAAATATCATATCTTATGCCTACAGTCATCTAGATGGTTGAAAATATTAATATCATATTATATCTCCTTTTTTTTTTACATTTCAAAAAAAAAAAAAAAACCCTTTTCATTGTTTTATCAAATTCAACGAAATTTCATAAAAACTAATATTTTTTACCTCATTCTTGCAAAAAAAGAGGAAAAAAAAAATACACTGCCCAGGCCTGTCATTGGTTAGCCCATAATGGAAATGCAATATGACAAAAATGGTCCCAGCCTTGCAGGATCGGACCCTAACCTTGTTTCAAAAAATTGAAAAAGGATAAACCTTATCGGATCGAATAAACACAAGTGCCACGCGTCCCAATAACGTATCCCAAGGCCCAATCCATACGCGTACACATCGGCAATATGCAGCTATTCGCCTATTCGTCCGCTCTCGGCCGATGTAAATCACGTGCTTCCTACAGCACCACCGCCATGAAAAAATAAATACAAAACTAAAAAAATTAAAATTAAAATTAAAAAATTAAACATTTTCCACTTCCTTCTTTCTCTCTTTCAGAGAGATAACGAACGAGAGGTCGATTTTCGTTTGTCTCCTTCTTCGTTCACTTGTATATATATATATTTCTTTCCTTCTTTCAAAAGCCAGAAGTCTAATGTCTTCTTTGCCTCTCCCATTATTCAGCGGCAAATCTTCTTCTCCTTCGTTTTCTTATTCTTTGGTTCCGTTTCAGCGACTCGATCTCTTTCGATCTACTTCAACAACTAGGAGTTTCTCTTGCGTGTTTTACTCCTTGAAAGCTAAGGCAATGGCTGAGCTCATTCAAGATAAGGAATCCATTGTGGCCGCCGCTGGTGGCAGTGGAGGCTGGAGGCCGGAGGTTGAGCATTCCCGTACCTTCCTTGAAGCTCGCTCCGAGCAAGGTTCGCTTTCCTTTTAGCTCTTCTTTTTCCTTTTTCATTATTTTAAATCTTTTGTGTTTATTTATTTATTTAAACAAATGTAGTTTCCGATAAAATATTGTAAATATTACGGTGTAATGTTTTTTTTTTTTTCTTTTGCTTATTTCCGAAGAATCGAAACATGTATTAATAAATATTATGATTTTCTTTTGGTTGAATATAGAGAAAGAACAACAAATACTAATCTGCTTACATCATAACAGTAGCCTTTATGTTTACGTTCGTGCAGCTAAGATAATGATTTAAAGCTTAACACTAAATTTTTTTATGGTTTTCCAAGAGCCTTGGATTAAAACAATTTGATGCTGAGATATAACATTTATTGAACTCTCTTATTTATAAGAGTCCAACAATTCATTCATTGATAGAGAACATATTCAAGTATTAGAAAAGCTCATTTAGCCAAATTTTGTCGGTTCCGCATGAATTAGTGTGGAGAGTAAAATGGGATTTTGCATAAAATCCATTTTTCAAGTTAAGCCGCACTTTCGCTGATTTCTGCTAATGGGGGAGACACAACGAGCTTATCCTGTTAGTTGTTGGATGCCTCTCAGATTCCTGGGCTGATAACCTTTGTTTCCTAAACCTGCAGTGAAGAAAGATAACAATGATTAGTAGATATATAGTAAAGTTCTCATAAACCTCGTAAACGTGAAATGTTGATTGAAGGATAAGTCTCATGCGACAACGATCAAGAATGAGGAAAGCCATTAGACTTTAAAGACTTTAGGAATTGGAATATAAAGAAATATGCTTTGATGGTTCAAAAAAAGTTGGGCTCAGTTTTTTAGTGGAGCATAAAGAAGGGAGACAGATTGGATAGGGGAGCTGGACATGGAGAAGAGTAGAAAGGTTTGGTTGATTGAAGGAATAAAAGACCAAGAAAATAAAAGAAAACATTTTCTCACCTCAAATACACTTTAACTACAGCATTTTATAGTTCCAAAATTTAACTAGAGGATTGGTTTTGTTCTCTCATGCTGCTTATTTGTCTACAGAACTCTTATCTGGAATTAGGAAGGAAGTAGACGCAGGAAGGCTACCTCCAAATGTGGCAGCAGGAATGGAAGAATTCTATCAGAATTATAGAAATGCAGTAAACTAACATACTTGAACTCTTACTTTAGTGCACATTAATGTATGTTCTAGATATGATAGGTTCTCCTCTGCATAGTCTATGTTGGTTTAGGTTGCCGCATCAAGCTACATTTTTTTGCCTCTAGAAAATGCTACCAGTCTTTTATGTCTTTTATAAGCTCATATTTTAGCAGATATACCATCATATGTTATCTTTGTATTTTTATACTCAATGTACAATTTATACTTGACATAAGATACACTATGTGTTATGGGAACCAGGTGTATAAACTTCATAATGCTAAACAATGTGATATAGCTTCTTTATGAATTCTAGTTTGCACTTAGAAAATCTTGGTGGATGAGTATTCAGTCAAACTACATAGTCTTAATAGTTTATCACTTAAAGATTGCAATATTTGGGCAAACCTTATCACTCAATGCTTATTGTTTACCTGTACCTCTGAAAACTTAAAGAGATTTTTTTTGCATGATGGCAACATTTAGGTTTTTCAAAGTGGAGATTCCACAGCTGGTGAAATTGTGTTGTCAAACATGGCTGTTGCGTTTGACCGTATGCTTTTGGATGTAGAGGTAATTGTACTCCAATGCTCTTTCAAGATGATTCTACTGTTTGTAACATATATGAACTTCCATTTCCAGATATTGCATACAGACTATAAGTTTTCTTATAAACTTCTGCATGAAATATGACAATAGTTTTTCAGGATCCTTTTGTCTTTGAACCGTACCACAAAGCTTTGCGAGAGCCATTTGACTACTACATGTTTGGTCAAAATTATATTCGGCCTTTGATTGATTTCAGGTGAGTGGATAACTTCCACTGCCCTCTTATTCTGGTTTTTTATATCGATTTAGGTTGCAGAAAGCTCCCCCGAAATTTGAAGATGTGCTTTGGGGAACGAATATGTAGTTTTTTCAATTTCATTACTGTATTAAGATGAACCAAGGTATTTGATTTTCAGGTTAGTGGTTTTGACATATATCAATGTAATGAGGGTTTTAAATTTTTGAATAATTATTAGCTACCTTTAGAGACCGTCTAAGGTTAAGCTTGTTACATGTTTCTTATATTTTGTGTGAGGGAATATGTAGTTTTTTCAATTTCATTACTGTATTAAGGTGAACCAAGGTGTTAGATTTTCAGGTTAGTAGTTTTGACATATATCAATGTAATAAGGGTTTTAAATTAGACTAATTATTAGCTACCTTTTGAGACCATCTAAGGTTAAGCTTGTTCCATGTTTCTTATATTTTGCATGCTGTTTGGCGGCTCTTTCATAAATTCCATGAAGGGTTCTTGATTAGAAGGTGATTGTTCTATTAAAATGAAGTAATATTACATTTAGGAATTGTCAAAAATGCAAAGGCTGGTTTTTTGTGGATGAAAAGCTCCCCAATATTTATAGGGTCTCAAGTAGGTTTTTTCTCTTCATGATGTATATTTCAGACTCTTTCCCCTTCCCAGCAACATCTTGTTTTGCTTGTCCCACAGATGCAATTTAATTCTTATCAATTACCTCATAATCTGTTATTTCACATTGCTAGTATTTCTTGTGCTTCATATAAAATTTCTGTTACTCATTTTTCAATTACGCCAAGGACACATTTGTTCTACCAGTTTTTTTTTGGTTACTTCTCTTAACATGTGTCTATTATATTTTGTTGCAGAAATTCATACGTTGGCAATCTTTCTCTTTTCTATGAAATAGAAGAGAAGCTTAAGCTGGTGGGAATGCTCTGTTTTTTTTTTTTTTCCCTTTCCTCTGTTTCTTCTGCAATTACTTCTGAACATGACTGAGTTTTGCTCAATCATCTGTTTCAAAGGATGCAGTAGAATGTTGTTATCATGTTTTACATTTGAAAAGACATACTGTTAAAGATCATAAATTGATTTATCCATTATTGAGCTGCTTGCTAGTAAGTTGAAGATATTTTTTGTTCTGACTGCTATAAGACTTACATGCTCTTTGTTTAATAACTAATAAAAACTTGTGTCTAGAAACAAATACTGATAACAGGTCTTTGTTTTCCATTTTCTTTAATTTCTTAATTTTCATCAGTTTTAGGTCATGGTAATTTTATAGTTTTTTTCTGCAAGCAAAGCTGAACTCACATCTTTCTGTTTACATGGTTTTACTTGCAATTTTATGTTAGCATAAGTAAAAGTGGTGATACTAAGTTTCAACATTCGAGAGTTTTTGAACTGAAACTGGTACTTGGGAAGTGTGTAGTACTGGCTATATATTTTGCATTTTAGCTGGCTTTTATGGGTATGATCATTAGACAATTGGTTGCAGGGTCACAATATTGTACTTATATCAAACCACCAAACTGAAGCTGACCCAGCCGTCATTGCATTGATGCTTGAGAAAACAAATCCCTATATTGCTGAGAACATGGTGATTCCCCCTTTAATTAATTTTCCATACTGAGCCTGCCATAGTAGGCATTATCTATGCGCTTAATCATAATTTATGTTCTATGCTGCAGATCTATGTTGCAGGGGATAGAGTCATAACAGATCCTCTTTGCAAGCCTTTCAGCATGGGAAGGTACTTAATTAGTTACCACTTGTTTTGAGTTGATTATGCCAAAATATGCTAAAGGGTCACTTACAAAAAAAGTTTTACCAATTCATTTTAGGAATCTTATATGTGTGTACTCCAAAAATCACATGTATGATGTTCCTGAGCTTGCTGAGATGAAAAGAAAAGCAAACATACGAAGTTTGAAAGAGATGGCTTTGCTGCTAAGGTACCTTAATGCCTTTACAATGATACTTATGTTAACATGCTTGAATCTGCACTGAGGTTTTTACTGTAAGTATGGAGCCTTGTATGAAATTTTTGTTTCATTATAGGGGTGGCTCGAAAATAGTATGGATTGCACCAAGTGGTGGCAGGGACCGCCCAGATCCCCTTACAGGAGAATGGTATCCAGTAAGTTTTTGCAGCCTATCTTTTTAACTGTTTTTTATTGTTTTTTAAGAATTTCTATAGTTAACCTTATATCAATCTAAGGAACTGTTAGTTATAAAGTGAGGAATGGGTAAAAGCTGCTTTCATTAGCATATCTGAGTCCAATCCAGAACATATTTTCATTTAAGGACCTTGTAGTTTAACTATGAGGGAAATTCTTTGGAAGAGGTATCCATAACAATGAGCCTCCATTTGGATTTGAAACCAAATATTCGTAGCTTTAGTAGAAGATAGAATCAAAGAATCTTGTTGCTACCCTTCTAAATTTGTGGCTATATTGAGAGAGAGAGAGATTTGAGGGAAAAACCTGAAGAAACATATGCATGTCTTAGTTTTATACTGTGTTTATATTAGAATAAATATGTACATGAAGACTAATGTGCGCTTTAACCTAAATCCTTAATACCGCTGATCACTTTGTAATCTGTATCCTTGAAGCTTCATGTCTGATTTATGATTAGTTCAAAGTTAGGTATGAATCCTTATTCTTCTTCATGAGTTAACGGCAAAATATTTCCTTTTGGGGAGCAGAATCTTAAATGATCTGGATTTGTAAGCATTTGCAAACATATAAAGTGAAGGGTTAGTGCTCTGAATGAGGTTATACAAATTGGAATCAACATTTTGATTTACCCTTTTCCCCCCTTTAGACACTGTTTAGTTAATAATTTCCATATGTTATTCTTTAAAATGTCTTGAGAAGGTCAGATCTTCAGGTTTATGCGCAGATATGATTGGCATGTGATGCTGTAGGTAACAAAATGAAGAGGAACTAAGTGTGTTGGCATTAACTGCAGAGTTCGTTTTTAGATATCTAAGAATACCATGCATTGGGAGATTTTATTTACCTAATGAACAATAGTGATTCTTCTTTTCAAATTCTGTCTGTCTTAATTAGACCCCAAAAATATCTGAACCTTTTGACTGCAAATTTTATTTACCCAAGAATACCATGCACATATTTTTGTGATAAGCTTGTCTCCATTCATACTAATACAAGGGGAGTCAGGCACCCTTTGATTCTTCTTCAGTGGACAATATGAAAAGGCTCATAGAACATTCAGGTGCTCCAGGGCATATATATCCCTTGGCTCTATTATGCTATGACATCATGCCCCCTCCAGTCCGGGTGTGTATTTGATTGTCAGTTTTTGTCATGCAAAATTTATTCTCTTGTGACTCAATAGCATTTTTTCAGGTAGAAAAAGAAATTGGAGAAAAAAGAATCATCAACTTTCATGGGGCTGGATTATCAGTAGCTCCAAAAATCAGCATCCCAGAAATTGCTGCTGGCTGTGAAAAGCCCGAAGAGGTTGGTTGCGCTATGTTCTTATAATTTTAGTTTCTGGTACTTGACCACAATATGGTATTTGAAAAGTTAATCCAGTTTCTCTAAAATGAGAAAAATAATGTATCTTGGTTGTTGCATGATACAGCATCTGATCAGTGCAGACTTAACTTTATCACTACGATTTTCACATGAGCTTTGTCATCTATATTGAAGATGATAAGCCAGACTTGCAGATATTGACTGTAATATAATAACTTACTTCATGTTGACAAAATGACTATACCACAGACACATGCATAGTAATGTTGAGCCACACTAAGTATTTCCATGGGCATGTGAGCCATAACAACTATTTGCATAAAATTAGCATAGACTCTGAAACCTGGCTCATACTATCTCGTCAGCAACGGTCTTTTTCAGTTTATTAAAATTTCCATTCATTGCAATGTCTAGAACTCTAGATGATAACTTTCTTGAGAATTTTTTCACGTTTTACACCTGTGCTTGTTGATTGCTGTAGTATGAGTTGGCTTTCCTTTTGGGCAGGCAAAGGATGTATATACACAAGCTCTGTACAAGTCTGTAAGCGAGCAATACAATGTCCTCAAATCTGCCATACATGGCAAACAAGGGTTAGAGGCATCAACGGCAGGTGTCTCTTTGTCTCAGCCATGGAACTAGTCAACTGCAGGTTTCTCTCTCTCTGTAGGCATTCTTAATCAATTGAAATTTGATGTGTCACATGATATTTTCCATCCAATAATTATTCATTCTCTTTTAATGAAGATGCGATGAGGTTCACCTACGAAACTTGATGTAAATCTTTTTTCCAAAGATCTCAAGCACTTTTACCAGCTGCATCTTCCCATTTGCTAAACCGACTAAAAACAAAGAACGAGAATGCTCTCCCTTAACTCTTTTTAGTTGTTTGTTTTCTATGTGGAATACAAAATCTAGGTTGGATTGAAACCTCCAAGACACCAATGTCGCCTGACAAATGAGGAGTGAGGTCACGCGCCACCCCTATCTGCTCTTCCACCGGGAAACAAGTGCTGCTTTCAGGTGCAGTCCCAACCTTTCAGGAGTCCTTAATTTTAGGTCCCACTTTTGTTTGATTTTGGAACATTTCTTTTTGTATAATCGGGAAGGAATAGACTGAGATAGGATTATAATTTTGTTTTAATAAAATTTTCTTTTATTTTGTTTATGTTACTCTGATCATAATCTGCAACCGAATTCTATATTGTATTAATTAATGCTACAGAGGTAAATTAAATTTTCATAAATGCAGTGAGGTCTTTTTGTGAAAAATGTAACTTTTTGTATTTTCTATTGTAATAACTTTTGCTAAGCAGTAAATATTTGATTCTATTGTAATAGTTATGACCATTCCTGTCATTATATTGTATTTATTTATATTAAATATATTTAAAATATAAAAAATAAACAAGAATAATCATTATCGATTGTAACAAGTTGACAGGTTTTGTTTTTTTCGAAACTGACTCTATTTTATATTTATAATATTTTAATTTAATTCAATTTGATCATTTTTTTTTATATTTGAATTTAATTGAATTTAATATTATATAAATTGTATCATAATTTAAATTAATAAAATATTATTTTTAATATAAATATAAAATTATATATAAATATAAAATTAAATAAATAATTAAAAATTATATATATATCAAGCTTAATCGAATTTATCTAAAATTTGATCTCGATTTAATTTTTTTTGTTATTATTCGATTTGATTTGATATAAAATTTAATTTTAAAAAATCAGGGTAGAATCCGTGAGGATGGGTGGGGTTGGACTGCCATCTTTAGTAACCATAGATCAAAACAGCTGGACGTTTTAATACTATATTATGTCATGTTAGGGAGGGCGATGCAATAATAAAACGGTATCTAATTAAAAGTTTTCAAACCTCAACGATTTTAGGAAATAAAAGAAAAAAGTACTTTTTTCTTATTATTTTTAGGAAAAAGGATTGATTGAATGTTTTCATCGTATTGGGTATTATTAAAATTGGGATTTTATTATGAGCTGGTTTAAAAAAGAAAAATATTATCCTATGTACTGGTGCTTTCTTATCATCATGTAAATATGTCAGCAGGCTGAAACAACTTTGTACACATCAAAGGGCCATGATCCAGCCCAATTCAAGTCTACCACCAACTGGTTTATCTAAATATCTTGCCATGGCCCATGTAAAAGCTGGCTGCGTGGCTCCCAGGGGCTTGCATTTTTGACAAGTTTTTGATGGTCCGCTAACATTATCATGCTTTTAGGTTTTAATAATTATAATTAATGAATAATAATTTAGTATTGTGTATAATTTATAAAAAATTATATAGGGTTCACATTTTTTAAGTGATAGATTTTTATATAATATTTTTGTTATAATAAATTAATTGTAGTCTCATAAATAAAGAAAATTATAAATGAAATGTTCTTGAACAATTTATGATTTTAGAATATATATATATATATATATATATTTGAATAGAGGAGGTAATTGCTGTGGGAAAGAAGAGTAGGTGATATATTTTGACATTTTCATGGGAAACATTCAATCAAAATATAGGGTAGCTACTGGGTCATAATAAGTTATTAATAGTAGAATAAGCTTGTGCAGTCCAACAATCTCTTGCATTATTATTAATATTATCATCAAATGACAAAGATGAAAGACTAAAGTAGGATTAGGTAAATAAAATCTATTTTATGATTTACGCGACAAGTAAATTCAAATTAATAAAGTAAATTAGCTGGAATGTGAACCATAATTTTCTCATGACTTTGGAAGCATGGACCATGTCTTCTTGATGTAGCCATATGTAATTATTAATGGCCAATTAGTCTTTTTTTTTTTTTGTATTTTTTTCCTTGTCCGACGAGATATTAGTTAAATAGGTAAACCCATGTGTGAGAAAAAAAGAGTATAAAACTATTTTTTTTTCAAGGGTACTTGAATAGTTAAAAGTTAACATTTTTTTTACAAAAAATTAATATTTTTATTTGTGTAACGAAAGACACATTGAAAGAAAAAAAATTAATAAATCGAAGTTGTTAAGAATAGAAAAACAAATTATTATGCTGATCATTTTTCATCAAAATGAGGGTATTTTAATAATTTTAATTTTTTTTAAAATCGAAGATGCTTTAGTAAGATTAATTCAAAATGATTTAATATGAATGATAAGGTTTAAGGCTTGTACTATTTAATAATAATAATAATAATAATAATAATAATAATAATAATAATAGGAATTTTGGTTTCGTCTTAAGGTTAAGGAGTGAATGATCATTTATTCTATCATTAAGTCATGGACCATTTCTGAGGTGGAGAAATCGTTTTGGGTTGTTTATTTTCTAGTACAGCGGGTTAAATGCTCCTCTTAGTAATGATTGAAAGCAATGAAATCTGCAAAGAAACCCCGACAAAGGATGTATATGTTGCTATATTGTATAAACAATTATCTATGAAAAGAACAATAACCATAGAGTATTATATAAATATAATTTGGTGAAAAGAAGGTTTCATATCATTGACTATTGTTGGAAGTTCTCACCAAAATGCTTGATTGTATTTGTCATGTCAAACCCCATGTTACTTAGAAACTCGTATATGTATATCGTAATCAATCATACTCTTCTAGAAAGAACCCGGCGCAACCACTTGTAAATAGGCTGCATCAAAGTTCATACTTGAAAAATGGATAGGGACAGGGCAGGAGGATCACATTTTAACCGATAAAGAGCTTTCATGTTGAAAACAAAAGGGCACAGAAAAGGAGATGAGAGCAATGTCAACTACAGGAAAGGATGGGGGCCGCCCGACTGTGCTGAATCTTTTTGATATGTATAATTTGGATGCTGTCTTTGTCGTTTCCGATGTTCATTGCCCACGTTTTTCCCCGCAAATGGAGATATGAGTAGGATCGGTAATTCAATTCGACGGTGGTAAATTTTGATTTGATCGTTTTTATTAAATTATTTTTAAAATTAAAATTCAGATAAAATTAGATTAAATATTTTTAAAAAATTAAATCAGATTATATTGAATTTTATGTAAATTTATATTGTTTCGACTCAATATATATTTTTAATATTTATTTTAAAAATAATCATTTATATTAAAAATAATATTAAAAAATATTTGATTAATTTTAAATCAAATTGATTGTAAATTTAAATATAAATAAATCAAATCAAATTCGAATATAAAAATTATTAAATTTATAAAATCATATAAAGTTTGGAATAAAAAAAAATCTACGACCCATAAATGTTGAGAAAAAGGTTTCTTGTTCTCATTCATTGTGAAGAGAGAAATCATAAATGTTGCAGTTTCTTTTTACTGTTTTATTTATTATATGAAGGTAGGGGATGGGCCGGACATCAAATAATACTCCACTCGGCGCATGTTTAGCCATGTCAACTCACCAAAAAAAAATGTAGGCAGATTATTCAGAAATAATAAAGTGAATATGACAATGGCATTATGGACGAGTCAAATATTCTTCTAACCCCATCCAATTGCCATCCTCAAAATTGGTGTTATATCATGACACCACGGAATGACGAAGGCCTTCACCATGTGCCAAGCCCGGCAACGATCTTCTCCTTTTCCTTTTTATGCATTAATCGTTGGCACGTCCCGATTTGTATAATGGGCAAAGCGGCCAAACCACAAATCTATGTTATCCATCTTGTAAGCAATATCTTAACTGGAATTTGCTACGTTTCCTTTAACATCTAGCTTTTGTTCCTTAACCGATTTTGCAATATTATTCAAACAATTTTAAATCTGTTTTTCAGGTCAAACCACATTAAAAGACAACCAGACAACAAGGTGGTTCGTTCAATTTTCTAATAAACTAGTGCTTCCAACATGTTTCCAACATCCTTTGGTCGAGCTTCAGCTTATAGTATTTCATTCAGCTACCATATCCAGACAAAAGACTCCAAACAAATAAATTTACATATATAGGATATATAGGCATATTATTTTTCTATTATTTATTATACACATATATATATATATCATATATAAGATATTCAAAACATGATGTTTATATAATATATAATATATCATAACTAAAATAAAAACTTTTATTAATGGGTATCTTAAGAAAATTTTTTAAAATTATCATATTAATAAAAATATCTTTTTTAATGTATTAAAATTATCACATTAACTATTAATTATTACATTTCATATACAAATGTTACTATAAATAATATGTTAATTAACCTCAAATTTCATAAAATAAAACTACATGTCCATATCTATGTGAAAATCTGAAATAACACCTTTGTAATGGTAGAGAAACAATGGGAAATATTTGTTGAATTTGGTATGTGAGCACATGTAAGTACAGCTTGCCTGATTTGACTAACTCAAACAAGGCGAAACTTTTTTGTAATTACTGATGTGATTTTGTTTTTGACAAAGAAAAAGGGTGAATGAAATCAATGTGGCTAATCATTTAATTCTAATTAAATTCCCGTTAATTATTAGAGTCTATGGATATCCTCGTGATTATCGATTACCTTGGATTCGTTGAATGTTTCATTTTTTATAAAATAATAATAAATTTTTATTAAAAAATCATAATTCAAAAATTAAAAAAATTATAAATATTAACATTTAAATATCAAATTTATTAAATATTATAAGAGTCAATTATATTAAATTTTAAATTTAAATTTAAATAAAATTATTATTTTTAAATTCTCTTCTAATACTACTACTTGCATAAGTTATTACTGCTGTAATTAAAATAAAATAAAATAGCGCTTTAATTGTTTGAATTAGACGCAATCAGCAAGCTGATAATTTCCGCGTCAGCACGTGGGGTCCCACTGGACGTAAGGATCATCTGCAACCGATCCCATTGACTATTGGCCAATAAGGGGAAAGCATAGGAAAAAGTCCAATTCCAATAGAATATTTTAATATTTTTGAAAGTTCAGCAATTTTATTTTTGTTTATTGTCATAATCTTCCAATAAGTTTCACTATCTTCACTTTTATTTTTTATAAAAATGAAATTCATCTAATTTTTCAGTCTTTAATTAATTAATTAATTCTTACTAACACTTTATTTTATATAATTATCAAATTAATGTTAAAAAAGACTTTAAATGCTAAATTAGCAAGTTTCCTATACGATATTATTTGCTATAAAATAATAATATATTACATTATGATTTTATTTATAAATAATTTATGTATTTATTTTTTGAGAGAAATAATTTATTTCTACTAGAATTTGTAGAAAGAACATGAGGACACAGACGGGCTTGACCGGCTCCAACATAACTTACTTGCACCGGAACTAAACCCAAACACCGCGTAGACAGAGCTGAATTCGGCCGTCTAAATACCCAAAATAGCCTCCGTTATGTTCAAATTTTCGCTTCCTATGTCGTCTCATTCTCTTGACAAGTACAAAAGAAGAGCCCAAGGTTTTACGCAATATCTTGCCATGTCTGAATGCGTCTGACAATGTAGTGTCAAAGCTGTAAATTTACTCCACTCTTTTAAGAAAATATTTAAACTCACCTTTATTGCTCCAAAAATTGGATATGCCATTGCACATTCTTTGTATCTTTTCCTTCTCTTTGGTTTATTTTGTTTATTTTTTGAATAAAAGAAAAAAGGACCCTTGTTTTGGTTTTTGTGCTTTTGAAGAGAAAGAAGATGATGGTGGCTTGATATTGATGTTTTAGACTTGGTCGTTTCTGCGTTTCAAGGCCTTTGGTTGCTTGTTCAAATGGTACGCTTTTGAATTTCTATATAATATTTTATACTCTGTTTATATGTAAGAAGTAATTGGAGACAAAGGGACAAATAGAGAGTTCAATTCTCAAAGACAGAGCCTTTGTTCTCTATTTAGTGTAACTCTTTTTTCTTCTTTCTTTCTAATGGAAACAGAGTCTATTTTCCAATAAGCAAAATATAAAAATTGAGAAGTTTCATTGTGTTTTTATAAGTTTTGAACCTTTTCAAGTTATGCAGTTCTTTAAGGTGTTTCTCTGTATTTCAGGGTCTGGGGAAAAAGTTTGCTTCTTTTTTTGATTAGGACAAAGGCGAAACAATGGCAAGCGAATCACATGTGACTAGAAGAGCACCTAAAATTCATCATATAACAAACTCGGAGGGTGATCTTGAGAATAAAATTGGCAGCGTAGATTTAGGTAGGTATACAGTTCATATGCCTCCTACACCTGATAACCAGCCAATTGCTATGCAAGCAGTAGGAACTGAGGAACGATACGTTTCGAATTCCATGTTTACGGGTGGTCACAATCGTGTTACTCGTGCTCATTCTAAGAAGATCATTGATTCGCGAGCAAGCCATCCCCGGATGGTGGTTGCTGAAGGGTCATTCTGTGAAGTACCTGGATGCAGTGCCACGATGATGACTAATAGGCAGGGCATAGAGGTGTTCCCATGTGAATGTGGTTTCAGGATTTGTAAGGATTGTTATAGAGATGCGATGGGAAGTGGTGATGGATTTTGTCCGGGATGTAAAGAGCATTATAGGGGGTTGGATGAGTCTGAGATGGCATTGGCTAGCCAATCATACTTGTCTAAATCGGAAAGGACGTTGTCAGTGGTGGAATCAACGGAGTTCCCGATGAGGAATCAGAGTAATGAGTTTGATTATACTCAGTATTTGTGTGAAACGAATAAGAGTTATGGGTATGGAAATGCTGTGTGGCCGATGGATGGTGTGAATGGGGACAAGGATGAGATTGGTGGTGACCCTAAGGTATTTCGTGAGAAGCAATGGAAGCCCCTTACACAGAAATCAAGCATACGTGCTGCAGTCCTTAGTCCATATCGGTATGAATCTTTGTTTCGTTACCTTTCCCGCAACATTGATTAGCATTACAATCTTCTATTTGTACTTATTTTGAACAATGAATCATCTTTATAGATTTTTTTAATGACATGAATTCTATTCTATTTTGATTCTACATTCTGTGCTAACAAGATTTCACAACTGTTCTGAGCTTTGATTATGATTGCTACAGTAGTAAGTTTTAAGCTAGAATGGTTTTGTTTCTGGTAAAACGGTTTCTTAATTGTCAAATGTCTTGGAGATTGGAATTTGGATTGTTTACCACTTTGTTAAAAAATAGTATGATAATTTCACTGCTAACTTTTCTTATTGTTCCTATGTCCATATGCTTACAGGCTCCTAATACTTATTCGAATAGTGGTTCTTGGGTTGTTTCTACAATGGAGAATCAGACACCCAAATGAAGATGCAATCTGGTTGTGGTTTATGTCTATAATTTGCGAGATCTGGTTTGCCTTTTCTTGGCTGCTTGACCAGCTTCCTAAGCTCTGTCCAGTTAATCGTGCTGTTGATCTTGATGCTTTACAAGAAAAGTTTGAAACACCTAGTCCGAATAATCCTTCAGGAAGATCTGATCTACCAGGCATAGATGTCTTTGTTTCTACTGCAGATCCTGAGAAAGAACCACCTCTTGTCACTGCAAATACCATTCTTTCGATTCTGGCAGCTGAGTACCCAGTTGAGAAGCTTGCTTGTTATGTTTCTGATGATGGAGGTGCGCTACTAACTTTTGAGGCCATGGCAGAGGCTGCCAGTTTTGCCAGAATTTGGGTCCCTTTTTGCCGGAAACATGAAATTGAGCCTAGAAATCCAGAGTCTTATTTCAATCTGAAGAGAGATCCATACAAGAACAAGGTGCGACCAGATTTTGTAAGAGACCGCAGGCGGGTAAAACGTGAGTATGATGAGTTCAAGGTTAGGATCAATGGTCTTTCTGATTCAATTCGACGACGTTCTGATGCCTTTAATACTAGAGAGGAGGTCAAGGTTTTGAAGCGTTGGAGGGAGGACAATAGTGATGAACCAATGGAAAATTTGAAGATCCCAAAAGCTACTTGGATGGCCGATAGCACCCATTGGCCTGGCACTTGGACAGTGCCTGCTCCAGAGCATTTTAGGGGTGATCATGCCAGTATCATACAGGTAAGTATTCAAGAAGAGCTTCTCTTCGGTTGGCGTGCCTATGAATAAAAAATGGAGCATTTATTTAATGTGTTTCAACTTCTCATGGTTAATTCCTTTTAGCTGTATTAATATTATTTTAGGAGGGTGTTTGTGCCAAACTCCGATCTTAGGGTATTATTAAAAAGATAAAAGAGAATAACGGTTAGAAGCAAAGGCAGAGAGTGTTTCTTGCATTTGTATTTTGACATGCAAGTCAAAATAAGTGAGGTCAGAAAAAGAATAGTAAGGAGAATTAAGAGTAAAATGGACTTGTCTTAATTGTACCTGGACATTTGCATTTATAAATAAGTGATAGGGGACCATTAAAGTGCAATAAGGACCTGACCAAGTTGATGTGGTACCAGTATGGCGGATCGACCTGACATGTCAGATTAGTACAAATGTTAGAAGTATTCCTGCTTGTTTAGTACAAATGTCAAAAGTATTCCTGCTTGTCTGCTAAAGGCTTTTAACAAAGAGAAAGACTATTATACCTTTTTGACCACTAAATGTCCCCAATAGAGGGTTTTATGTTCCCAACGCTAGGATGTTTTTGAAGCCATTAGGGACTATGTTACCAAAGTTGTCAGCATTTTGTTAAATAAGTTTTTTAATCACTTGTAATGATGGTATGATTATGCGAACTAAGATCCTGAACGCTATCGATTGCAGGTGATGTTGGATCCTCCCAGTAATGAACCTCAAAAAGGTGCTGAAGGCGATGGAAATTCCATGGACCTGAGTGAGGTTGACATTCGTCTTCCTATGCTGGTTTATGTTACTCGTGAAAAGCGACCTGGTTATGATCACAACAAGAAGGCAGGGGCCATGAATGCCCTTGTCCGAGCCTCTGCGATCATGTCCAATGGCCCCTTCATTCTTAATCTTGATTGTGACCACTACATTTTCAATTCCCTGGCATTAAGAGAAGGAATTTGCTTTATGATGGACCGCGATGGGGACCGTATTTGTTATGTCCAATTTCCTCAGAGGTTCGAAGGAATCGATCCATCTGATCGCTATGCCAATCACAACACTGTCTTCTTTGATGTTAACATGCGAGCTCTTGATGGAATTCAGGGTCCAGTATATGTTGGAACAGGATGCCTCTTTCGCCGCACTGCCCTTTATGGCTTTGAGCCACCTCAATTGCAAGAAGACACTGATTGCTGCAGCTGCTGCTTTCCACGTCTTAAGAAACCTGCAACTGTTGCATCTGCCTCTGATATTGACCCTGAAGATATCCAGTTGAGGGAAGATGATGAAATGAATATTGCACTTATTCCTAAGAAGTTTGGAAACTCCAGTTTACTTGTTGAGTCTGTCCGGGTGGCAGTGATTCAGGGCCAGCCCCTCGCAGATCATCCTTCTGTCAAATATGGACGACCACCTGGTGTTCTCACCATGCCTCGGGAGCCTCTTGATCCATCCACAATTGGTGAGGCAATCAATGTTATCTCATGCTGGTATGAAGACAAGACTGAATGGGGGCAAAGTGTAGGGTGGATTTATGGATCAGTGACAGAAGATGTGGTCACAGGGTATAGGATGCATAATCGTGGGTGGAGATCTGTTTATTGTGTGACCAAAAGAGATGCTTTCCGTGGCACAGCTCCAATAAATCTCACTGATAGGCTTCACCAGGTTCTTCGATGGGCCACTGGCTCTGTTGAGATATTTTTCTCACGCAACAATGCCCTATTAGGCAGCCCTAGGCTTAAGCTTCTACAGAGGATTGCTTATCTTAATGTTGGGATATACCCTTTCACTTCCATATTCCTCATTGTTTACTGCTTCCTTCCTGCACTTTCCCTATTTTCTGGTCAATTCATAGTTCAGACTCTTAACGTAACATTCCTTGTGTACCTCTTGGCCATCACCCTGACCCTTTGTGCTCTTGCGGTGCTAGAGATCAAGTGGTCTGGCATTGAACTTGAAGAGTGGTGGAGGAATGAGCAGTTTTGGTTGATTGGAGGCACAAGTGCTCATCTAGCTGCAGTGCTGCAGGGGCTATTAAAGGTGGTTGCTGGCATTGAAATTTCATTCACCCTGACATCAAAATCAGCTGGTGATGATGTGGATGATGATTTTGCTGATCTCTACATCTTCAAGTGGACATCTCTCATGATACCCCCACTCACAATCATAATGGTTAACTTGATTGCCATAGCTTATGGAGTTTTACATACAATATATAGTACTGTACCTGAATGGAGTCGTTTGCTAGGAGGTGTCTTCTTCAGTTTCTGGGTATTGGCTCATCTCTACCCCTTTGCAAAGGGTCTTATGGGAAGACGAGGGAAAACACCTACAATCGTATTTGTTTGGTCAGGTCTTATTGCAATCTCTATTTCTCTACTCTGGGTGGCTATCAAGCCCCCATCAGGAAATTCTGATATTGGAGGGTCATTCCAATTCCCATGAATTACAGCCGTCTGGTATTGTTTTACACTGGAAGGTCGAACGCATTCCTTTACTCATTCTTTCAAAGATAACGAGATGTGATATTAGAGATTGATTCAACTAAATTCCATTCTAGATATACATACATCATGCCCTTCCCATGTACTTTTCTCTTTTCGTTCTTGTTTGCTTCCAATTGCTAGGATTCTTTGGCAGCTCACATCTCAGCCATCCAACTGAATATTGAATCGAATCAGTGTACATACATTCATTTTTTAGACAAATATTCTTTGGATGAATCGTTTTCAGTAGAGCATCCATTTCTGTCTCTTACTTTTCCTATATTAGTGGGGACTAGTACATAAATCTTTAGATAAGTGAAAGAGATGGTAACTTCTCTGAAGAAAATCCGGTTTAAGGTTTTGGACAATAAATCTTTAGACGTTTCCAGCAGCTAACTGCGTTGCAGCTTAATGGATAGCTTAAAGAGTTCCTTTTGATTTTGTCAAGACGCTAATTGAGACCAATTCTGTGTATGCCGGCCATTTTAATTCTTCATGTTATGCACCACTTCTTAACGAGGGGTGCGTTGGTTCGCAAGTCGTGCCATGACCCAAATGCCGTCCCATTATCAATTTGCTTTTGGTCAAACAAATGGCGGTTTTTATTAAGTCAGATTTAATAAATTGCATGTATTTAATACCTTGCAAACAAAATCCAACTTTTCTAGTCTCAAAACAGACTCATTTTTTATTTCTCATGTGCTGGCTCCCAATCCAACCAATCTTGAATGGACCAAACCGGGCTGGACATGCTTCAAATTGGTAATTTCAGAGCTCCTAATTATAGAGAGAACCTTCCACTGTCAGGTCATTTCAAGAAACAACAGATAAGAGTCAAAAGTGACAAATGGACTATTTCTGAGCAAGTATTCTATTCAGAATCGATTTTCAAGAAGCTTTGGAGATAATCGTCTCGATATTTTAGGTTAAACTAATTAAGAGTTACACACTTGCATAAATAGCTTTCTGAAGACGGAAGCCATTGAAAAATCGTCCAAAAGGTTGGTAAATGGTGACAGTAAGCCTCCAGCCTTCAGAATTTTCTTGAGGTTGGTAATAGTTGAACAACTTGCAAAATATACCAACTCTTTTACCTTTTCCAAGATAAATCTTCCATATTCATTGTATTTTGCATGTTCAGATGATGCGCAGCTGACTTCAACCAACCCTCAGAGTCTTCTTATATACCTAGGTTTAAACATCAGAAGTATGTTATTTTTGTGAGAAATAGCAATGCAAATTTGGTGTAATTCTCAACTTCTCATAGAGCTGAGAGCCTGAGACTCGAGAAAGTTTAAAAGGGTCAATGAATTAAGGAAACAATCCTTTGTTATTAAGGTAAACTATGGGAGAATCACCAAGTCGGTTCTATGGTGTAGTGGTTAGCACTCTGGACTTTGAATCCAGCGACCTGGGTTCGACTCCCGGTAGGACCTAAACTATTTTTCAGGACGTGTTTATTTTAGGCTGGGAATTCACTTTCAAATCGAAATATTCTAATATTATATTCTCCTTTGGTCAAGAATCAAGATACAGGAAAATAACCATTGAAGATGCTGGAGAAGGTACAATTCACTGATGGTGTTCAAATTTTTGGCCACTGATACTTGAATTCCAAGCACCTACTTTAAGAGAGTAGGCTAAAAGAATCAACCATGTTAGATGAAATTTGGTTCCAACATAATTATAAGAATCATTCAACTGGAATACAAGATGCAAACTATTCCATGGACTAAATGGCAAGGAAAAACCTGCCCCAAATTTAATTTTTGACACCCTATAAAATATTTCTATACTGATAATGTGGTTATAATAAAAAACAACATTGAAAATTTTGATCCTGAGGTCTAAACACGGTGACATTTTTAATTTACAAACTCAATTTATTTTGTCTGTTCCTCAGAGATGGAAGTACCCCGTGACCTTCTCTTTGGACGTTCTCTTATAATCCTTGCTTGCTTCCTATGGTTTTTGTTAAATTTCAATCTTCCGGTATCTTGAAATCTTTGCTTGTCAGTTGGATCAATTATAAATTCAGAAGGTGTCACAGGGTAACGCAATTGGTCATAACAGTAAGAATAATAAATATAATGCTGCCTGAATTTGCGCATGGCGGCTGGCCGTTTTCATGTTATGACAGCATAGTCACGGCTCTCAAGCCAGGCATCTCTCTCCGAGCAGGCAGTAGAGTTGGGGAATTCCTGAATTGGATCCATAGGGCAACCTAGAGGACTAGCTCTTTAAACTCGGAAATAAATGAGGCATATCATAGTTAACTTTATGTTTGCCTCTGGATGTGGTTCAGCTAGAGGCATCCCAAATAGTGGCATACAAAGACATTGGCTTTGATGGGTAATCTCCACCCATATCATCATTGGCCACCACTTCCCTAATGGGAACTTCATCAACGTAAAAACTGCACAAATTCAAAACCAAATTATCAGTTATTATAGTGAAAAACATGAGAGAAAAGGCAAGGTGAGCATGACCTAAAACCATGTAATCTTGAATACCAGAAACAAAGAGATTGACTATTGGGATTTGAGAGGGGAGTTGAGAAGTCATTTTCCAGTTGATAAACTTGGCTGTAAATGACATAAAACAAATAATCCTTGAATTCTTTCCAAATATATATTTATGAGAGAAAACCAATAAAATTAGGCCAAATAATATTGGTCAAAACTCAAAACATTACATAAAACTACGGATTAATAATGCATATATGAGTAACTATGCATGAACTGAGGCACAACATACCATGTTAGAAAGTAGAAGGAAAATTAAGGACAAAACAGAGAGAAAAAAGGTGTTTAAGACAACTCACATGATGTTCTTGGCTGTCCATAGAATGCTGCATCTAAGGAATTCTTTTGATGGATCAAACCAAAGGCTGTAGCGCTCCTCTCGGCCTCCGTTTGTGCTACCATTGCCATACAAATTCGTCTGGAATCTCCATGGCTTACCTTCAATATTTCCCAAAAACTCGAAGTCTAATTCACCATGGGATTTCACAAATACGTCACCGTTTGATGTCTGCATTGACCATGAAAAAAAGAATACCATCAAGCGCCATGATTGTAAATTGTAATCATTGGCACCACATTTATATTTTTTTCACATTTGATTCATACTAAAAATTCCTTTCAGAAGATGCATATTGCTTCAAAAGGTTTGGTAGAGGAAAGGAAAGGAAAACCATGATCGAAATCAACACATAAAACTTACATAGAAGGCAACCACTATTCCAGCAGTATAATCTGATGGCAACTTGACTTTGGCACTGAAAAATCCATGTTGATACATACTGGATGAAATAAAACCTGACCCTGAAAATTTCACCAAAAAACAAATTCATCAATACCAAAAAAAAAAAAAGGGTTGCATTCTTCATTGTTAACCATGCGTTATACCTGTATAAACGTCTAGGAGGAGGCGGACGCTACGGCCATCAGGCGAGCGAACAAGATTGCCATCACCGAAGAGAGGGCTGTATCCTTCGTCAAAGAAGAGGGTGGTGAGGTTGAAAGCAACCGTGAAGCCGAAGAACCAAGAGAAGAAGAAGCTGAAAAGTAGGAAGAAGCGAGCTAATGTATCTGAAAGAGAGCAAAGTAAACGACCCATAATTAAATTCTCTTTAGTATTTGTTTCTTTTAGGGTTCCTCCTGTTTTATATCTTTTGGTTTTTATTCTATTCTCTCATCCAACGCTTGCTTTATGTGTACGTGAGTATATTTATACACACACCTGAAGAAAAGAAAGGGGAGTTTCTGGATTGAGAATGGTCTAATTGGCTGCTATACATGCTCTTTAATTCATTGTGCTGCCTACGATGCCCTTGATTTAGCTGGGATTAAATTAAATTTGACAATTGATGATAACCATTTTTTTTGAGGAAAATCTTTACATATACGGTTTGAGCTTGGTCGATTCACACTTTGCAGAGTACTCAAAGGGATTCTCTTTCATTATTTGATCAAAAAATGTGTGGGCGTTTCTGTAGAAGATTGGATAATAATGGAATAAAGATAGTGGACGAGCTGCTATTTTGTGGAGTTGCCAGTGAAGAAGGGATTTCTTTTAATGAAAGGCAAAAGAAAAGTGACAACTAAGATAGCCAACAACAGCATGACCTACCGATACAGTGTTAGAATTTTAGTTCTAGTATTATTATTAAAATCATGGTAATCTCAAATATTAAAAAAAGAAAAATAAGATTTATGTAAATATGGCCATATGAAATTTAAATTTGAAGTTTTATTTAATACTTTAGTTGATTTATATAGCTACATCTAAGAGATAATAGCAAATAGATTTGAAATTAAAATTTTAACATTTGCAATCTCGTTTTTATTATTAAGTTACGGTCTATTTTATATAAATATAAATGTGTATACTATACCATGCAAATGAACAATGATTTACCATGTAACAACAGAAAATGCGGCAAAAGCCGCAGTTACAGTACTAAACATTACGCCAACACAAATTATAATGCCTTATCTGTTAATCAAAATTCCCAGCATTATGCACTAATTATAACTTTACATTACCGCTGGCATAACCATTTTTTAATGTATTTATAGTAAAATAATTAGGAATATGTATAGAAACAAACAACTATTCTGTATACAGTAAAAAATATTTGGCAGTTTGCTGTGCAGAACTCCAGCAAAGAAGAGCAAAAACATTGGATCAATTTGGTAAATTGAAGTTATCGAGAATGTTAATTGGAACTTTTTTTGGAACATAAATTTTATAATGAGTTACGGTTAGATTCCGATCTCTTGTAATCTTATAAAATCATATCCGTTGAGTCAAAAACATTTAAATAAGTCTTTGTAATTAAGCTAATAATAATACTCATCCAAAGACATTAATTTTTTTTAACAGTTAGGCACCCTATAGCATGCATGTAAACATATAATTTGGCAAGACATTACAATCCATCTTATACTAATTAATTCAACTAAAAGCTAAACCTTCATTCGTATCTAAACAAGAGAGTGCCAAAGTTTGTTTTCAATTCATTATTATATTATTATTATATTATCTCCATAGCTAAGGTGCAATCCGTGAACAAACGACGATATATTATAAAACTAATAGTTACTTGCTAGGTGTGTTTTTAAGTTTAAAGGATAAAATAAATTTTTTTTCTTATTAGTATAAGTTAGGTAATAACTAAAAGTATTTTAAAATTTTTGATCGAATTGACGTTTCAAACTTATTTAAGTTTACAAGTTTACATCAGCTCGATTACCTTATTAATCTTATACACTTGACCTTTAAAGTATTAACTTGATACATTTTGAATAAAAAATCAACTATCAAATCAACTCGAATCTATCAAATCATCCTTAACCCCTAAAGTTGATCTCGAACAATACTCTAAGTTGCTTGTAATCCTCACTTTACAAATATAATTAGTTACATCCAAGTACCTTTCAACTTTCTTGTTTTTTTTTTTATATTTCTTGCTTTTTTCTTTTTATTCCTTTTTTAGATTGATTATTGACTTAAACATTAAAATGCGATTACTCCCGACCTTTTGTTATTAACCACTCTCTTTCCTCTTCTATTGTAATTTTAGAATTTTATCTCTCGCATTCGGCTTAGCACAAAAACATTTCTTTTAGCAAAAAAAAAAAAAAAAATCTAGCTATAACTCATATTTTTTTATGATTAGGGGTTTTCAATTTTTTTGAAATTTTAAATTTAATCTTAATTTTTAATTTTTATCTACTTAATTAATTTGAAAAAGATATTACATATTTAAATTTTCTTAAATCTATAATTTTTAAGAGTTTGTTCAACATACATATCATCTGAATTAATATTAAATTGATCAAAATTTCAATAATTAAATTCTCGAAAAGGATCTTCATAACTTACATTTAATGAGTAAGCCTAAAGTTTTTGGGAGTGATGGTAACTTGTAGTTGACCAACCAAAACCTATTGGTTGCCTAAGAATAAAAATAATATTACCTTTTTTTAAGTATGCAATGGTAACTTGCCCAATTTCAAGAAGTTGACCAACCAAAAACTTATTGGTTGTTTAAAAATAAAAGTGAATACTATAAGATAGAGCGTAATCATATTACCAAAACCTCATGTAATCATATTATCAAAAACCTATTTAACCATTCTTTCCTTTTCAACTTGAGGATAATGGTTTCTATTAACATAAAATAATAATAATAATAAAAAGCAAAGTAAAAAATGCAGATAGCAGGTGTAACAAGTTTTTTAGATGAAAATTGTGAAATTTTTTCTTAAAAATAATTTAATAAAAATTTTAATAAAAAATTCAAAATTGATAAATTTGATAGAATTTAATGTGAGATCAATATTATTTAAAAAATTATTAAAAATATTATTTATAATTCAAATTTGATCGATAGTTTTTCAATAGTAAAAATTCTACTAACAATTTGACTGAAAATATCTATATAAAAATATATATCAAAATTTATTAATTTTTTTTAATTTTACATACTTAATCTATTAATAAAATCTTTCAATTTATCGATTTTAATTTTTATTTGATCGATCTTAATAAAAAATTTAATAAATTTATTTCGTCTAACTCTTTTTGGTTTGTTAAACCTAGCAAATATTATGAAAAAATTGTATTTAATTAATTCTGTAAGTTATTAGTATTACCATATTAAGCGGGCTAAATAAACCAAATAATTGATTGGAATGGATTTTGATAAAGCTCAGCCCAGAAATAAAACCGGCTACCCAAATATTTTAATGTAGGTTTTGCAATCTTTGAAACAAAAAGAAACTTGAAAAGAAATGGGTCGTCTTTGTAAAGTGTGAAGTGTAAACGCTCGGTGTGTTCAACTCCGTGGGTCACCGTCTTTGCTCCGCCGCCGCCTTATTCATGGCGGAGAACACTGGTGAAGTCTCATTTTTTCCTTTTCTTTTCCTATTTTTCAAGTCAATGAATTTTTTTTTAGTTGATAAATAAAGTTGTCAAGTTCGAATTTTTCCTTCAAAGTTTATTGCTTGTTTCTGGACAAGTTCACTTCTTTTCATGTTTTCCAATCTGGGTTTTACTTAAATTTCATTTGACGAATCGTATTTAACACATTGTGATGTGCTTAGTTTTGTTTGCTGTAATGTTTTAATTTGATTCTTTCGTTTTTTTTCTTTATATGGGTTTTTATAAGCATTGTCAATATTCTCAATTCTGTTACCAGTTGTTAAATGAATTGAAAAGGTTACTAATATCATTTTTTGGGTTCTAAATTGAAGTGTTCTAACCAATTGAATAGGAAGATTTAGTAGCCAGATAGCATTAGGTGTCATTGAGGAAGAGTTGATAGATAGCATTGAGGCGCCTCCTTGGCTGGTCACATGGGGAATTGATGAGATCAGATGCAAAGCCTTGTTCCAGATTAATGAGACAGACGGCTGGGATTTTCACAGTTGGAGGAGCTTTGGGATTTTGGGTTCTCTGTAGATTGCATTATGGTACTCTAGTCTTCACTCTTACTAGCTTTTAGAAATTCTGAAAAAAAATATTGACTGTCTGCTTATTATTTCCATTATATTCCATGTTTGTTTGTTGCTGTTCCTTGTGCATTAGCTTTGTACCCTTTTTTTTGTCTTTTTGAATCCATTTATTACCTCTTCTTCTTCTTTAGCCTCCTAACCCTTCGTTCCCTTTCTATTTTTCTTCCTGTCTGTCTAATATGAAGTAAGTCTAATATGAAGTAAAACTTCCTAACATTTCATAATCTGGTTCTCATGTCAACTACAAAATTAATGGTTCAATGTTAATACAGGCCCCAGGATTACAGTACCAAGAAGTCTCCGGTGGGCAGCCTGTGGAGCTGTGTCTGTAAGTTCAACATCAGCTTTGTTGGTTAGCCTATTCAGTCCTGAATGTGAACCCCAAAATATAGCTGCATATGACAAGGGCAAGTAGCACGAGGCTTCTCACGCCTGTCAAAATTCATGGCTGGTTTCAATGATTGACCAGTATGGTGACATGTTAGTTACTACCTAAAATATGCATTAGACAATATTGATCGTGTTAGTTGATCTCTGAATTGAATTGTAGATCCATCGAAGTTAACATGTCAACTTACTTGGTTCCACCCACCATTTTTTTGTGCAATTTAGCTAGTTTGTGAACGTGAATTTTGGAAACTAGTCAAGAAAACAATACCTCGTTGACTATGGAAATTTTCGTATATAACTTGGGGTCCACCAATCGATTTCTGTTTGTGCATGTGTTTGAAACAAAACTCACTTGAAAGTCCTTAATTGAGATCAGTCTAATAATAAAAAGGAAATGACTCTCCCTAACAAGGAATTCAAGAACCATAGTAAGGATTAAGATACCCTCCCAAGTCTCAATGTAATCCTAAAGAAAGCTGACGTTTATCCTAAAATTTCCAAAGATAAAGGATCGATAATATATTTTACGCTGCAAACTACAAAATGTTTGTTATGCTTGACTCTGAAGCGAAAACCACATTGCTTATACAAGAAATGGCATAAAATATCCAAAGCAATTGAGGAGAATGAATGTAGCAAAACCAAAGAACAGCGAGTATCCAAGCATTAAAATGAATCAGAGTTCGTTACTTCTGTCAGTTACACATTCATCAATCATATTTAACATAAACAAGCTTGAAAAGTTAAACTGTTCTGTGCACACTGCCCTTCTTTCAACAGAGAAAGTTGATAGGTATCGCATAATATCAGTCTACATACCATCCCAAGGCTTTGACTGTAAGGACAAGCCAAATCACGGGTGATGGATTATAAGGGATAAAGGGAACCTAAAAACTATCAAGGTCAGCTTTGATGAAATTTAAACATGCTATGCAGAATAAAAAACTTTCTGTAGCAAATTTGGTTAGGTTATGCTCCTGGAAAGAAGCATGAAACAGGGCGTATGAATCCTAGTGACTACCCTGCACAAGCTCTGTTTGTTCATCATTATTTGTATGTTGGTCCATCCTACCAGACTTTGGATCCTTGTTCCCAGGAATTTCTCCTACCCTCTCCTGCATTTATTTAACCAATAGTAGGAAGCAAGTTATGCAAACAGGTGTGCGGACGAGAGAGACTACAGTTCAAAGAGTAAAAACATACTAACAAGTTTAAAATTTTGCAAAACAAACCAAGAGCAGAACTTGACCTTGAGAGAGTTATTCTCTGCAAGAAGCTGCTCATACTCGCTCTTGATACGACTCACTTCTGATCTAAGATTGGCATTCTCTTCTTTTAAGGCTTCAGCACGCTGAGCCAGCTCATCACATTCCGCCTGATTCAATAGCAAGCAATTACACAAGTGATTCATGTGTCACCTTTTAATGGAAGATAACCTTAGTAGGATCTGCAATTTCTGAAGGATACTTCATTACCTGTTTACGCATCCTGGATCTGCGAGCAGATTCTCTATTTGATTGCTTCCTTCTCTGTCTTTTAAGCTCCCTTTCATCCTAAATCCATACAACCACAAATAGCACCAGTTACAAACAAAATATCAAAAAAAAAAAAAAAGAAAAAAATTTCTTACAACATCAGCAAGGAAAGTATATGACAGTTGATTGGAGGAGATAAACCTTGATTAAAATCCAGCAAATTTAGTTTGAAATTTAACAGTTCATCAATAAAGGTATGCCACTACAGCCAAAAACAAAGATATTGACTCTAAGGAGATCTTGAATTTCATTATATTGTTTAGATAGAGAGAGAACCTGTAACCAAATCTGTGACTGAACACTGTCCCGTGAAGCAGGAGTTACTATTCCTGCTGCAACTGGAGTTGAAGGAACCTTCCCAGGCATTGCAGGGATAGTCGATGAAGCTGGAGTTCCCCAGTAGTCCATCCCAATATGTAAGTTTGTTGTCGGACCAGGAACAGCTGTGGCAGCCCCAGCAGTTGATATAGGTACAATGGGCATTGTTGAATTCACCATTGTATGTGGTGCATTTGGGCCTCCATTCTGAGGACCATGTGCAGAGCTTCCATTCTGGGATGTTTCGCCTGTAACAGAGGCATTCTAACATTCCTGAGAACACATGCAAATGGCAATAAAATAATGCAAAAAGAATTTATTATGACAATATCACTGGCTAACCTTCTCCAGAATCTTGTCTTCCTCCAGACTTCACTTGTGAATCCTACAAAGGAAGAAAATACGATTTTAGGGCATAGTCTTGACCTTAAAAAATAAAAGGGCAGTATATGTGAACGGCAGAATTTGAATAAAAATGAAGCATTTAAAATTTCCTCGTCCTATGAAGAGTTCCAAGAGAAGCTGCAACAAATGAGGATTGTAACAGAGATGATTATTGAATACAGCTTTAGAATTTCTTCAATAACCCACTCCCAAAAACAATTTTTTATAACATACAGAGTGCTGATTAAATTTTGTTTCCCATGTGACGGGTAAATAGAAAATTTATCTTACAAGTTGGCAGGCAAACTCCAACAACATAATTGAGAAGCTACAGGAGGATTGTGCCTTTGAGAGAGAGAGAGAGAGAGAGAGAGAGAGCCCTAGTATATCAACCCATATCCTCATCATCCTGAAGAGTCCTTTGCCTCAGTCTATGAACAGTCACAGGCAGACATATACTGGAAAAGGAACAGCATGATCTTGAAACAAAAACCTAAGATTAATACTGCAAGAACTTGCCCACTAAGTTGAAATCTAAATACAGAATGAAAGAAGTTTGGGCCTCTGTGGCTCCATTAACCTATCTTTTAGTTCTTAGAGAGCAAGCCCACATGGCATGCCCAAAATTTATTAATCAGAAATATCATGAAATATAGAGTCAGGTGGCCCCAGAATTCAATAGATGGCATCGAAACAATATAATGAATGGCAAAAAAGGACCATGGAACTGCAACTGAGGGAATTCCTTACCTTTGGGTTTTAGAAACCCTGGTCCCAGGGCCACACCAGTAACACTCTAAGAAAGTACTTTTTGAACCATAGGTCCATGGAAAATGCTCACTTGCAGAGTAAGCACACATACAATATAAAACACAGGATAAAGTTTTATCAAGAACAACTTATGTAGAAGAATATTCTTTTGCATGCAATCAACAGAGTCAAACCAGATGCCATTTAGTAGAGAAGAAAATGTAATTCAAGCTAAGTCTGTTCAACTGAAACATCAACGTTTGTCGTGACCTGAGAACCCCAACAATTCATATCCAGAGTGAGGTTTGAAATAATAGTTGAGATGGGACATAAATTCATGAAATTGCAACTCCTGTCCTGGGATCCACCATTTTGGCAAGGTGTTCACACCCACCAAGATAGATGAAATACAGAAGCAAATTCAAAATAATAAACTAATATAATGAAAAGGCAAGAGGCATTGCACTCACGTTCTGGGAGTTTGCATCACTGCCTTCACTTGTACCTTCACTTTCAGCGCTACACATGCACAATTATTCCACTGTCAGCTAAAGTACCTAGAAAGATCATTTTGATAGCAATCACAAGCAAATAGTGCATGTTCAAATGAGTTGATGCATCTAAAAATCCCGATATGACTTTTGAGTACCAACCAAAAGGCTCAAAAAAAGGAGGGAAAACATTTATGCCTACTCAATCATCTTAAAACATGAGCTCTCCAAGCCACAAAACAAACAGAACAATAAATAACTCATATTATAGAAATAGTTCAGACGAAAAATGACTTTTACAAACACTTTTCAAAGCTTCCTAATACTTTGTACAACTTATATAAAGAGAGAAGCATGGGAGCTTTATTCAGGTGTGGAGGTAAAGGAGAGAGCTTCTCCAATAAAGGGTCATATTGACTTCTCAATGAAACCCGATTGCAACTGCTATGTTTAGTAGGCTCTTTTCTGTATTTCTCAATTCTATTATGATTTCTCGATAAGACTAGATATGCAGGTCAGGAGTAGCCCCCTCCCCCCAAATGACATGAGAAATAGTCCTTGTAACTAACAATGGCACAAACCAGAAACCAAGAACTATACAATAACTGCAAAGATCGTTTCTTTGCTGCCATACCTTTTAGAATAAACTCCATTAGCAGAAGCTCCTGATGTCTTACCAAGATTATTGTTCTTTCCAGTAATCATGTTCAAACTGCCTAAACTCCCTTTTGATCTTTTAATTGGCAATTTTTCCTTCACATCAGAAGGCTTACCATCTGTTTCCATGCTTCCAGGAGTATTTCCCTGCATAAAATCTCAAGATTCAGTCCTTTGGAAACATGGACATAAAAACATGTCTTTCAAAAATCAAATCAAGACAGAGCAAGATAAAGTGCTCACAGAAGCCTCAACAATGCCATTTGGAGGAGGCATAGCAAAAGGACTAAAAGGATAAGATCCCTGTCCAAGATTAGACCACATCATAAAGATGGCTCCAGATCTCAAGCTATTGTGACATTAGAAACAAAACTGAGAACATTGAAAAACAACATACTGGAGGAATAGATGGATGCGCATATATTCCACCATGAGGATACATTGCAACATAAGGATGTGGGGGGGTACCATAGGGAGGCATAATATGCTGCAACGAGAAAAGTATTACATTAAGGCTTTACTGTCCAGCAAATGAAATCATTAAACCTTAATAGTTAATTATGCCACTAAATTTTAAAGCTCTAACAAATCAAACAGAAAAAGTTTAAAAATCATAATAATGCACCATCCAATGATACCAAGCAAAATGATAAATACCTGAACCCCCCACATATATGGGGGAGCTTGGGGATTTGATGCCAAGAACCCATGTGGAGGAATGGGAGAATATGCCTGCTACCAAACAACAATCCACATATAATGATTCAAATTCAACATGAAACCTGAGAACAAAACATAGAAACTAAAGATATTTATCTAACAGACCTGAAATCCTGACCAGTCCGCACCCGAGTTAGTGGTCGAAGTTGGCTCCTGAGCAGCAAAAGAAAAGCATTAAAAGGAACAGGACAAAAACCCTTGTGAGAACAACTTTAAAACAACATAAACTGCAAAAATTTCATACAATCAAATAAGTATACCTACTTATCCAAACATTAAAAAAATAAAAGTATACCTGCATGGTACTAGCAGACGCTGTCTTTGGCTCCTTTTCTTTTGCAGTTTTATCCATCTCACTGCTGCCCATTACTCTATATTGACCATGCAACTTCTAAAAGCCCCTCAAACCATCCTTCAAATGAAACAAAGTTAACCAACTTCCATTAACAATATGCACTTTTTTCCCACTCTATTCCTTCAAAGCAATCCAATTTATCTAACCCTATACTATTTTCAGCAAAAATATAATGAATATCAACACAAAATAAATATACAGCTTGCATTAGCAACAATAAAAAAAAATTCCCCACTCACATCACAAACAATTAAAAGCTAAAAGAAATAATTAAAAACATTAAAATTCCAACATCCTCTCCATTTTTTTCTATATTTTCTCAGTAACCAAACAAATAACATTAAAGAGAAAGAGGTAACATGTATGCAGAGAAAGAAAAACAGAAACAAATAATTCAAAAACAAAAACAATTAAAAATCGAAGGCATGCAAATGATGCTGTTGACTAATTTACAAAAGAAAAAAAAAGTAAACAAATTTAGATATACCGCTCAGAATCAATCCAAATTGAGATGAAATCCTAGTCTGATCCACTGAATAGAAGCACACTTTTGGGAGCTTGGAGCTTGAAATTGAGTGAGAGATTATTATTTTGATAGGTGAAGGAAAAGGGCAGAGATGTCAATTTGGGGAAAAGATTAGGGCACGATTGGGAGACACTAAAATTCTCATTTGCCCATGTTTCTTTTCTTTTTTTTCCCCTTTTCCAGATAGGAAAATGTAAAAGATCAGGTGTTTGGTTTTAGGTTTTGTTAATTGTATTGGGGAGGGAAGAGGAACGGAGGGTACACGGAATGGATTCTGTGACTCATCGTATGGTAGTCGATTTCTCCTTTCTATTTTTGTGACCTGGCGAAATCTCCATTTTGTCCTTCCACCTGCTTCTATTTTCACTTTACCTTGTTGAATATTTATTCTTTTAATCAATTTAACTCTGATAATTTTTTAATCTTAATTTGCATCAAATTTTTTTTTTTAATTTTTAATGTATATTAAATAACTTTTTAATTTTTAATTTGTATTTTAAAATTTTTTTAAATATAAATTAATTTTTTTAAAGAAAATTTCATTTAAATATAAATTAAAAAATAAAAATTTATTTAAGAACAGCTAAAAATATAGAACTTATTTTAAATAATTTAAGAGTTTTTTTTAAATTTTAACTGATAATATTAATAGGATAATTTTTATTTTCTTTTAAGCATGCCTTACAATAATGTAATTCAATTATTATAATAAAATACTTTTTATTGTTATCTAACCTGCTGATTGTGCCTTTGCATCATATAAACATCATTCACTTAAATTATGTATTTGAAAAAAAATTTCTTAGAAATTATTATTTTTCTAATGAACTATTAATACATTACTATTGAAGTTGATTGTAAGTTTGACAAAAAAAAAAGTCGCTTGTAAGAGTGTAAATTCAAATTTGAACTTTAAAAATTATACAAAATTAAAAAAATATTATTTTCTTATCAATTTTATAAATTTAATGAAATCAAATTCAGCCCAATTACTAAAGATATATCAATGAATTATAGCTATGGAATACTAAAAAGAGCTGAAAAATTTTTCTCACGAATTTTACTATAAAATTATGTGAAGTTAGTAGTACGTCGTAGCATAAGTTTGCTATAATGAATTTAAAACATATGTGAAATCAAATTAGTTTGAGATTAACGATAAATACAAAAGCGTTCCCGTTTCTTGTTACAAAATTCGAATTCGAAAAAAAAAAAAAAGTCCGACCAAACACACAAGCCAGAACCTTAGCAACCGAAACCTAAAAAAATCTTCTGTCCCGACTGGTCGTACTTTGTTCTTTCAATCTCCTTATCTGAGAAATGGCGCCCGACCCAGATGCAGAGCAAAAAGCTCAACGCCTGAAAGCACTAGCAGAAGCTAAATATAAGAAATCAAACCTTAAATCAGCTCTAAAACATGCCAAGAAAGCCCACCGTCTTTGTCCAAACCTCGAAGGCATCTCCTCAATGCTCACTGCCTTTGAAATTCTCCAGGTGGCCTCCAAAGCCAACGCTGCTCCAGACTGGTATAAAATCCTCCAGGTAGAGCCCTTTTCCCATATAAATTCAATCAAGAAACAATATAGAAAACTAGCATTAACTTTGCACCCTGATAAGAACCCATATTTAGGATGTGAAGAAGCGTTTAAGCTTGTGGGTGAAGGGTTTAGGATATTTTCAGATAAGATAAGGAGGAAAGAATATGATATGAAGCTTAGGATTAGGATTCAGGAGGAACGGATTGATGGATTGGAAGGGAATGGTCTAGTTGGTGAGACGTTTTGGACTGCGTGTTCGCGGTGTAGATTGTTGCATAAGTTTGAAAGGAAGTATTTGGGACATAATTTGGTCTGCCCAAGTTGTAAGAAAAGCTTTTTGGCCGTGGAGGTTGATGGAGATGGTGGTGACGGTGAAAGTGAGGAGGAGGAGGAGGAGGTGGTGGCTTCGGTTAGAGTGAGCGAGAGAGTGAAGAAGAGAAAGATGGGTTCAAAGGAGAAACTGGATAGCCCTAAAAGTGTTGGATTGGAGGGGGAAAAGGGTAGTGGTGAGACCATTAGGAGTGCGGGGTTAAGGAGGAAAGCTAGTGGTGATAATTTGAAGGAGAAAGAGAGTGGTGGTGGTGGTGGTGTGGAAAAGGAAACGGATGGTGGTGAGTGGGGTGTGGGGGGATTGAGGAGCAGGGGTTTGAGGAGGATGAGTACTGTTGGCGAGGTATTGGCGAGGTTAGCAGCAGGGAAGGTAGGAGATGGTGAGATGAAGGAGAGATCAAATTCAAAGAGGGTAAAAGTTGCGGAGGCGACAGTGACTCTTGCAGAAATGCCGTTTGAAATGAGAGGAAAGATGAATCAAGGAAGGCAAAAATTGAATGTAAAAGAAAGGGTGAAAGATGTGGGTGAAAAGGAGAGGGAAAAAGAGACAGACAAGCCTAAAAAAAATAGAGTTTCAAAGAATGAGAAACAGAAAGCATTGGAGAAGACTAGGGATTTTGAGATAGAGAGTCAAGGACCTTCAAAGACGAGTGAAAATCTGGGGATTATGACACGTGCAACTAAGAAAAGGAGTGTAGATTTGGAAGCTAAGACTCGAGAGGGTGGGAAGAAGAATCAAAATTCAGAGAGCAGAAAGCAAGGGACTTTTAGAAAGAGAGTGACTTCGGAGATTGAGAAGCGACATGGTTCAAAGAGTGCGGACATGGAAACTATGGCTGTGGAGGATTCAGATTTCTATGATTTTGATAAAGATAGATCAGAGAGGAATTTTAAGAAAGGGCAAGTGTGGGCTATATATGATGATGATGGAATGCCTAGGCATTATGGTTTGATTGAGGAAGTATGTTCAGTAAATCCTTTTGAAGTGAAGATGAGTTGGTTGGACTTTCAGAAGAATGGGGATGACAGGTTGATTAGTTGGGAGAAAATGGGATTTCATCTATCTTGTGGGAGATTTAAGGCTGCCAGGAAGAGTTCCATTAACTCCGTGAACATCTTTTCACATATGGTAGAATCTGAAAGGGAAGCAAAGGAATTTTATAGGATTTATCCAAAGAAGGGCTCAGTTTGGGCTCTTTATAATGAAGCTAAATTAGGTGTTGCAGGAAGAAACCTTTCAGCTAGAGAAAAGCACTGCTACGACGAAGTTGTGCTTTTAACTACCTACAGTGAGATTCATGGATTGAGCGTGGCATATCTTGAAAGGGTTGCTGGATTCAGGACAATATTTAAGAGACAGGAGATTGGATGTCGGGCTATTAGATGGCTTGAAAAAGATGATATTCAGTTGTTTTCGCATCAGATTCCTGCATGGAAGCTTTCCGGCGATGATTTTCCTGATCTTTTGAAAGACTGTTGGGAACTTGATCCTGCTTCACTTCCTCCTGATCTTCTTTCCATTAGCCGGTGTATTTCAGAAACCTGATTTGCTTACTGTATAGTTTTTGCTTAATTGTTTTGGTGGATTCTCTTTTATATAAGTTGAGCACCCTGCAGAGGCAAATAATGAATTTCCCACACCTTTACAATGTGGCAACTTTCCGGACTTTTTTTTTAACTGGTACTTCAATGATGAACATAATTTGTATTGATTATCTTATTTTGGATGATGAACAGAGTATAAGTTGCTTTTCATGATTTAACTTCATGCTCCAACCTTTCAAAGATATATGTCATAGCAATCCTATAAGCCATAATCTCGTGGTGCAACATTTTCTGATGATGACCTTGTTTGTTTTTGGTTTTTTTTTTATCCCCGCCATTTTTGTACGAGAATACAAATTTTCTTTGCTAATCTTGTGCACCAAATAAGACGTAAAAATGTAAAAAAAGTTTAGAATACAAACTATAAGTTTGAGTAACTGAAAGGAATTCAAGAGTGTAATAATAATATTGAAACTAGTAAAATACACGTTAAAAATGGAATTACAAAAAATATTTTCGGGTCTGAGCCGGTTCGACAAAAAAAGTAAAACCCGGACTCATTGGGGCCGGATTCCATGGACCGACTTGGCGGGCCCAGCTCAGCTTATTAGTCAGTCTCCCCTAAACTGAAACTTAGAAAAAATTTCATTTTTGTGGCCGTTATTGTTCGCCGTCGCCATGGATTCGTAACCATTTCTTTCCCTCTCTTTTTTTTTTTGAATTTAGGTTTTAATTTTTGATCGAAAGACTTTTTTAAAACTACGGTCTGTTTATGGTGATTGTATCTTTTGGGTCTCTTATAGTTATCGCGATGAGGAAGGAGAGCCGATTATGGACTATGACGACATTTAATCGGACTCCGGTTCGCCGGAGCCGCGACAAGACCTTCTTGATAACGTGGAGGATGACGTGGAAGATTGGGGCCAACGAGAACGCTCGCAGACGCCGGTTTACGATACCGATAAGGTTGGGAAGCCGAGAAAAAGGCTGGTAAAGAAAGGAGGCTCTATGGGAAAAGAGAGGATTGATGCCCCTGAGTTGCTAGAAGAAGATGAAGAGACCAACTTTGGGAGGGAAGGGTCGGAGTCGGATGCGAGGAAGATGAAGAAGACGGAGAAGAGGCACAAGGAGAACAGGTATGGCGGTGGTAGTGAGAAAGGGACTGTTACAAAGCTGGGGAAGTCAGAGGAAGTGAATGAGATATGGGAGTGGATTAATCCTGAGGTATTTTCTTTTTCTTTCTTTATTTTTTGGTAATTAAATTATTGATGGCTGTTTGATTGAATTCGTGGTTAACAAGTGATAAACTTGTTGTCTTTGTTTACTGATCATTGATTCTGTTTCTCTTCTCTATGTTTCTATTTGATTATGTAGGAAGTGGCTTGCTAGAGTAAGTTTGTTTATGTAATCAAATGTCTGCTCTGGAATAGAATGATCAAGAGGGTGTTAGGACTGTGGATGATGATGACTTCATAGATGACAGTGGTGTTGACCCTGCTGACAGATATGGGAGTGACAATGAAGCAAGATCGCCTGGTGCTGCTCCTCAGGTTGGCAACCATCTTTTTATGGCTTTCATGTATGTTTGTCTTCATGTTGATAAAGAGTTTTAGGAAACTGGGTTTCTATGCTATTTATAGATTTATGTACTTAGAAATACAAATTCTTTGGTTGTTTAAAATGTGATATGAAGAGTTTTTTCTTTTTTTTTTTATAGTTTTCTGGTTCACTTTTATGATCTTTTAGGCAGAGGAAGATGATGAGGATCCCGAGATTAAGGAGTTATTTAAGATGGGTAAAAAAAGGAAGAAGAATGACGAAAGTCCTGCAGAAATTGCATTGCTAGTTGAGAGTGTCATGGCTGAGCTTGAGGTTACTGCTGAAGAAGATGCTGAGCTTAATAGACAAGGGAAGCCTGCTATAAATAAACTCAAGAAGTTGCCACTTCTTACTGAGGTTCTCTCAAAGTAAGCTGTTTACCAAGTTAATATGACTTGCTTGTATTTATCTAGAAATGAGCATTCTCATCTTCTTTTAAATTACTCTTTATGCAGGAAGCAGCTTCAACCAGAATTCTTAGATCATGGAGTGTTAACCTTATTGAAAAATTGGCTCGAACCCCTTCCTGATGGAAGCTTACCAAATATAAATATCTGTGCAGCTATTTTGAAGATTTTGACTGATGTATAAACTGGCCTTCTTTCTATTCTGGCCTTTGTAGTAATGGTTATTTCCCTAACATTCTTTCAAAAAACTGAAATGTTGTTTTTTTCATGCAGTTTCCAATTTATCTAGAGCAGCATGATAGAAGGGAGCAGCTAAAGAGAAGTGGTCTTGGAAAGGTTAGGAACCACCTTACAGCAACACTCATATTCAGCTTTATATTTTGAAGCATCTTGGATTGGTTTTTGATGCTTTTTCCCCTCAAATTTTATGATCAGGTCATTATGTTTTTATCAAAATCTGATGAGGAAACCACTTCCAACGGGAAACTTGCTAAGGATTTGGTTGATAAATGGGTAATGTTCTGGTTTAAGCTCCTGTTCTATTGTATGATAAAATTTTCCCCTATTGCTTTCCTATCTTCTTTGGATCTATATCAGCAACAGTCATGCCTTGCGGGCTTTATGTTTTATTTTTTTAGGCATTAGTATGTTGCCTATAGGAGTAGAGTTTTGATTGCTGAAATTTTAGTGCTTGTAATTTCAGTAAAAACTTAAGCCTTTTTTCATCAAGTTTTGTTTATCAAGTTTCCATTTCTAAGATTTTTTATGTATAGCCATGGAATTCTTCTCTGTGCAGTTGTATTAACTCTTATATATTTTTGGACATAATGCAGAGTCGACCAATCTTTAATTAGAGCACAAGGTTTGAGGACATGAGAAATGTTGATGATGATAGGGCTCCCTTGCGAAGGCCATCTATGAAAAGGTACCCTTTTTAGTCAATTTTACGCACAATATGCAATTTTGTTATTTATGCACACATTTTGTTTAGTTTTTGATAATTGAGGTTGCCAGGAACCAAATTCTAGCTATTGGAATTAAGAATCTAGCACTCTTTCAACAAACCACATGACTCTTGGCTACATTTTCATATTGAGTTTCTTGTTAATTTTTAAAATTCTTTTGTAGGCCTGCAAATAGAGCTGCATCAATGGAATCTAGAGATGGTGATTTTGATTTGGATATTTCTCGGTAACATCTGACATAAGGCTTGGTTTTTACATCATTATTCTGATTCTATATGCCCTTTAGCTTAATTGTTGGTTATAAAATTATAGGGACCACAAGTCTAGTCTATCATCATCAGGTCAAAATGCTTCAAGGTCAGAATCTTCTTCAAGGCTGCATGCTTCAAGGCCAGAAGCAACACCAATGGATTTTGTCGTGCGTCCCCAGTCTAAGATTGATCCAGATGAAATTAGAGCTCGTGCAAAACAAGTTGTACAAGATCAGCGTCGTTTAAAGGTTTATCGTTAGTATTAAATTCTGTTGGTTATATTGTTCCGAAAAAGTTACTTGGTTAACGAAACCAAAGGGGTTATAGTTATTGTTCCTTTAGCTGTCGGAACCCCAAACATTGTACCATTCCTAATGCCTCCTCAAGTTTATTTCATGGTGTTACAGACTGATCTGGCAACAAGCATTCCTAACTTCTCTATATTTTCTGAATCAAATGTCAACTTTTTCATGGCAGATGAATAAGAAGTTGCAGCACTTGAAAGCACCAAAAAAGAAGCAGTTGCAGGCAACGAAACTTAGTGTTGAGGGTCGTGGCATGCTTAAGTACCTATAAATGATATCCCACATACCCAAATTGGCATTGACATGAAAGAAGGATCCAGTGTGCGCTATCAGAGACATTTGGCGGCAAAGACCTATGTAAGCTCTCTGTTGCGCTGAAGAGAGCTACTGTATGCTTCTTGATGCAAATGTTTCTGTTTTACATCCATCTGGACCACTTATTGAGAGGGATTCACCGTGAGGGCAGCAGTGGGGGCAGCTGGGTTCCCATAACTCCAAAAATACATTCATTATATTTTAACTTGGAAAAATTTCTTCGGTTACAAAAAAAATGTTACTGTAATCTCTCAAGTGCTTGCATCAATGTTAACAAACATGCATATGAGGCAAAAGTTTTTTTCTTTTTTTTTTTTGGTTCACAATCTCCGCGTGACTGATATCTTGAAAACAATATCGGCATCTCTCTAAATGTTTTGAAAAAATTTTTTTTAAAAAAAGTACTTGATGAATTGACTGTGTATGACACGCGATAGAAAAGGATCATAGCTCAGATTTAATCAGCGTCAGTAATCCAATCTATAAATATGCTTTTAAACAGTCATTTCATTTACCTATAGCTAGAACAAATTCAATCATAATCGAGTTCGCAGGGCAAGAAAAACAATGATCATGTATAATCTTTATTATAGAATACTCTATAATTTTATTATATTTAATAGAGGTATAACTATAATATTTTTTCATCAAACAGTTATCTTGTAATATAATCTCTGTGCAGCTCGAATTCAAATGTCAACAGTCTATACATGATTTTGCGATTGTCTATCAATAAAAGTAGTCGGTCATCCATCCATTCGCAAGGTGCCTTATGCCATGTTCTCTTTTCCCTGACCAAATATGTAACTGAAGGACCTGAAAAAGGAAAGACAATATACAAAATGATATACAGCTCAAGGAATGACTAGATTAACAAGGGAAAAACTTGAATTTCCTAATTCTGAAGCAAACCTCAATAGCATAGATAGACACCTTCTTTTTGAAGATGTTGGCCTCCAAATTTCTCCTGAAATGAACGTTGGAAGGAACATGAATATGTTGACACATCTGGTAAGTCTCCTATAAAGTGAATGTGTTGCAGTGCAGCTAGATGGATATATTGTCCATCAAAATCCCCGTTTGGAGGTTGCAAAGTGCACTCATTCTATATAAAAAATAGCTTGGCTTCTCATATGCTTCAAGCCCCAACATGGAAATGAACAAAATTTTCAAATAGAGGTCCAATGCCATAGATTATGAAGTTAGCTAAATGAGGACATATAAACAACTTTGATGATCATTTTAATCTTGATAATCTTTTCCGTTTTCATACTTCTTCTGCAGATTCTTTGTGATGCTCTTGGAACCAGATGGAAGAGCTGGAAGGGAAGCTGGTATACCAACAAATGTTCTGCCCTTCTTAGAAACCCATTTCAATGGCATATTATTTACCACAATGCCAATATCATTTGAACTATTCAGTTCAACAAGTTGTTTGATTTGATCAAGCATCTGATGGGTCCAGGCAACTGACTCATCTAATGCAATTGAGTCATCCATTGGTTTCTTCCAAAGATCCATTATTATCTCTCTGAATGACCGAAAAGACATGGATGGTTTGTAGCTTTCATCATTTTCACAGATCATATTGACCTTGATGACGTGCTTGCAAAAATTTCCTTGCATTGATCATGCACAGTCACAGAAAGCAAAGTCTGATCCAGGGTTCCGTACTAAGTGTCTTATGCTGCTGTCTTTCTGACTTGTTACCTTTGCAAATAGGTGGCCCTTATCATCTAAGGTAACAGAAGAATCAGGAATTTGCAGTGCTCGGTGCCAAGATGTAGATTCAATGTATTCCTCCTTAACATTTAGAAAAGAATCACTTTCATCTGCATACCGTTCAGGCCAATATGCTGAATGCAACTCAGTTGTCAGCTTGTGCACTAACCAGTCAACTCTCTGAAGTGCACCAAGATGTTAATCATCAAACAATTTCATTTTCAGCTTCACATGGTAGGCTTCTCTGGCACCGGATGCCTCCTGGCTTGCAAGTGGAAGAGTTTTCATTGTTGAAAGCCACATTTCTGTCAAACAGAAATAAACAACATCAGTATTAGACATGGAAACCTTCAGGCCATTTGAATATTTGTGCATGTGTAATAGTGATAGAGATCTAACCAATCTTAGGCACCCAAGAGGATTTGAAATACTCCATGAAGGCAGTTTGATCAACAAAATCCAGAATTAATTTGTCCAAGGAAACTTAAGTGTTTTCACCTCCCCAAATGCCATAAACTACTTCACCAAGATGCTTGAAAATTTCCCGCTGAACCTCAATGTTGGAACATTTCTTAACAACATTCCTCAACCAAGATTTACGAACACACCAAAGGGAAAATAGGATAGGACAACAAAAGGTATCCCTGATAAACAGACAAAACAGGAGTAAGAAAGTGATACACTCAGTTCAAACCACACTTTAAAGAAAAAAAATCCTGCATTATGGGATCAATCTCTATTGCTGCATCGTCAATCACAAAACCATTGACCTTCCATCCAAACTCTATGCTCTGAGCTCGATCAAGCAAAACTTTCATCCATTTAGCCACATCTGGCTTTGCAACACTGCGGGTAATGACCCATACAACAGGTAGTGCATGTTGTCTAGAATCAAAGACAAGAAGGGTGCATAAAGGGTACTGCATTCAGAAACATTATCATGTAATACCAAATTGAATAGCTTTCTTGAAGCTCTGAACAAACACAAATCAACCAGTTTATTAACTTGAGTCTTTTAACACCAAATGTTGTATCAGCTGCAATGAGACTGCAATGGCCAAAACGAACCATCTGTTGCAACCGCCATTCTGTTTGAATCCCAAAAATGAAAGAATCGGTCTCAGAAGTGTCCTGATAGAAAAATATAGTTTTCTTATTGTGCTCAACCCACATCCGGATGCTAGCTTGATCATCTAGATCTAACTCGTGGGTAGATCTTTTAATGATCATCCCAAGTTTGTGGACATATTGGGAAGCAAGTGTACTAACTGTTGCATCTGAACCACAGTATCGTTGAATGCACTCGATGTGTTTCTCTAGCACGTTTTCTTCAGGAATGCCCAGATAAATCGTAGACATTGTTCGTTGCTGAATCTCATTTGAAATATATGGAATTTTCTTGGCACCAGGGCCAATGGCATCTTTGTCAAGAGGCCCATGGCAAACAAAACCAGACTTGTTTATATGGCGTCTCTCATTGTACATAATAAGTGCAAGTGATGGACGAACATAAAGACGTTTGACTACAAAATGGCATATGCATCCTCGCATGGATTGAGGTCTAGCAGCCCAATTTCGAGTGTTTAGACGATATTTTTGACTAGGTAATATACCTCCACCTTTCCCATAATTTTCAGGACCAAAGGAACACCAATGTCTTCACATATACAAGGGAAAACATAAGAACAAAATGTTTATTCTCAGGTGAACTCATATTAATGAGAAAATAATTTTCATATAACGAAACCTATCAGGGTTTGTGTTACATAGAACAATAGAATCAATCAAAACAGAAGAACTCTTATGCTCGGAGAGCAGGGAAAATAAAAGATCACAAAATGGGAAACACTGTTAAGCATGGTTTAAACTTACAGTCTATATTCCAAATATTCATCACTTTTATACTCCTTTAAACTGCCCTTTGATTGCTTCCGTCCCCTCTCAATATGAAATCGGGTTGGCCATTCCACATTCGAGCATTCTCCAATTATAAATTCATCTACTCGAGCATAAGGAATAAGTGCTACATCATCCTTGTGCTCAGCTGTGCCAAACTTTGTCCAAGTTAAATCAGCAGAAGAGAACTCCTCCTCTGGTGGATCTTGCACTGGAATATTGAGTATCGATTCAACTATCTCCATCTATGGCCTCTGTCAACCTTTAAAATTTACTATTGACCAAACTTGACATTCAGCACCGTACCTGCAAAATTAAGCATAAAGCATACCATGATAAATAAAATCTACAAAACATGACACAAGAACTAAAAGTAGACAGTTAAGAATACCGGCAACAACTAACCAACCAAATTTTTAGGCAGCTTAACAACATAATTCAAAGTGGTTTAAATAAAAAAAATTGAGTCTTGGCCTAAAATCTTCAATGCTAGACTAATGATAACGAACCGAAAGCATATCCAACTTCACATCAAATCAAAAGCAAAGTTTTTTTTTTTTTCAACGAAGAGCTGAGGGGAGGAGATATATCAACATATGAAACCAACAAAAAAAAAAAAACCATAAGCAAGTTTAACAACGATTTTTACTCCTATCAAAATCGAATTTTTTCTCAAATACAGTCGTTTAGATAAGATAGAAAGAGTAGAAAAATAATACCTATGGACCAGAGCCAGACAAGCAAAAACTGGACTTCATTCCTTTCTGGGTCTACTCATGTTTTTAGTTTACAAATGGAACAGGCAAGGAAATGGATAGAGAGTAAATACAATAAGAAAGGAGAGAGATTTTAGAGGGAAGTGTGTAGCCTGTAGGGTTTTTGGCAAGTTTTGAGTAGCAGAAAGTGAGGCTGTTGCGGTTAGTTTGGGGATGAGAATTAGATATCCTAATACTGGTTTCGGCCACCATGTTTTCAGGGCTTTATGATTGCATATTCGATGTCTCGTGTCTTTCCTTATCGAGTCAGTGGAACGTCAGTCACAGGTTCCGTTATATTTGTGTATGGGCTTTTGGCGGATACCTTTTCTTGTTTTTCATATATAAAAATAAAAGTATGTGTCAATTTTTATTGTTTTACTCAGTTAAAAATTTGGCAAACAGGTGAGGACCCTATCAATTTTACGATCAAATTTAGGCTTTAAGCAGATACTACTTGCAAGAATCCACCCCCTTCTTATTCCTGCTATTAAAAAAGTGAACTGAAAGCTTGATGGTTCAAATGCCCCGTTAAACTTGTCAATTTTGAACAAAAAATGTCCAGAAAAAAAAAAAAAAAAAAGAAACAATAATAGCTCCAGGGTAAAAGTTGAAAAAACATTCCAATCAGGTTTGGCTTTCAACATATTTCACTGCTTCTGTTTTTCATTTCGAGATATCAGTTACCAACACAATGCTGGGTTATGATTAAAGTTGTGATGATCAATAGGTTGCCTTGCCTCGCCTGCCATACTCAATAGGCTGCCTTTGAATGCCAACTAGTTAAAACATTATACAGAGAATTTCACACCTTCATCATCAGCTGAAGTTCCCTTAAAAATTGCAAGCTTCCCCTTCTGTTGCAGTAATTTCAAAGCTCGCATTAGAATCATGCGGTCTATCCCATGAAGCTCTGTGGTAAAGCAGAGAGTGAAATTGAAATCAGTAGCATATAATATTGAGGACACAATTTTCTCCAAGTCAAGTGTGAATGGATGCCTATGGATTATGATACATGCTTTTTTCCTTTATGGCTGGGAGAAGGTTTATTATGGAGAGGGATAATCATAAAAGAAGGTTCAGCTGAATATCAATGACATATATTATTTAGGTTTGTCCACTGTCCTTGCATGAGAAATAGAATGAATATACCAACAAACTTGTCAATGTAAATCCTATTACCATCTATAATGTTAAGTACATTTTTCTTTCCTTTTCCATGGAAGCTTGATTTCCAGGGAACATGCAGTTGATAGAAGTTCCATCTCTCCACAAAAACCACAAGTCAGATTCCTCTCCTAAAACTATTGAAGGAAAAGGAAAAAGAGGAAAAAAAAATCATCTCCAATAACACGTATTATATAAGTAGCAGGATTCACTAATCCGGTTCATCTAAGTATCGAAGGAAATGTATATTTACCTGTTCCTCGAGATTCTATCCCTGAACGTATTTCCTCAACAGTCATAACACTGTGTTCAAAGCCATTATCTTTCACCTTATAACATACGCAAATATATTAGAATATAATATTTGGAAGACACCATCTAATATTAACAGTTTTTACCAGAATAGCAAATGAACCAAGATTAACTCACAAAATTCAAAATGATTTCAGCCCAATCTTGAATTCGGTGCCAAAGGATTAGGCATTTCCTATGTCCTTTATCCAACCATTCAGCGTGTCCTGTCGCATCAGAACAAAAGTTTAAGAGCTTCCAATGAAATTAAGGATGCTGTAGCATACTCTTTGTATTAGTCAACCAGAAGAACCACCAGAGACCTTCTGAAACCAAAGCTGAGAGGAATGCTTCCCTGGCTTCGTGACTGAGAGTGCCTGCAGCAGACCAAAAAGAAAAAGAGAAATAACAAGCCTTGAAGAAAGTAAAGGCAATTCTCCAATTACAAAACAGAAAAATATCTTATAGTATTCATGAAAACCAAGTAGACTAATTCTATAAGCATACTGGCTGTATGCACCATACAGTTTCAGAGATCTAATCAGATTACTTAACTAGAACTTAGATAAACAGGTCTTACGTTCAATCACAGAATTTGAGAACAACGGAAATTCTTCCTCGAGCCCAATTACGAATATCTTCTGAGTTCTGCAGTAATCTAGAATCAGTTCTTTCCAAAGTTGTACCTGTTTCTCACGAGCCTCCCTCACTGGCTGCAAACTACAGAAAATGTAAAAATCAATCCCAATTCTTAAAAAGCTCATGAACAATCAGGGAGAAAAAAAATAACAAGGATGATGATAACTCTTTAGTTCCACTTCCACATCATCTTCTGTACGGTGTTGAAATTGAAGAAATATTAAGTATGTGGAAGCAAGTTATTATAAATCAGTATCCAACTTACCTGCACAAGTGAGGAACAATATTTTCTATGAAGTTCTAGAGATAAGATTGAAATGGAAGGTGTTGAAAAAAGGAAGAAATATTAAGTATATACAGATACAACTTAATATAAGTTTGCAATACAGTATCCAGCTTCCTCCATCGATGAAGATCAAGTTTTTTTCATGAAGATCAAAATTATACCACTCTTCACTGCTTAAAAAGAGCAACTATAAGGAATAATAAAGTATTCACAATTTTGCTAGAAAGTGAATAAAGCAAAAACTGAAAGGAAAAAGAGAGCAGAAGAATACGTGAAATATGGAGGGTAGTTGAAAAAGTGGGGAAGCTTGAATTCACCCAATTTCTGCATCTCTCTCAGGATTCCTTTACAATAGATGCCGCATAAGAAGCATACCTGTAATTGGCAGGAAAAAGGGTCATCAACAAAACAAGTAAGCAACAGTAACCACTTTCATATGATCAAAAACATCCTTAACTATGACGAAATAGATAACGTGAAAAAATACATCCAACACTTCTGCACATAACATGGAATTAGTATAGAACAGTTCATTGTACATTTGGTAAGAAACTATATCCAACACCTCCCATGAATCTCACCCTACAAAGATGATTAAACCATGGGCAAAGACCCAACCAGAAAATAATGCTCAAATGCTTGTTAGTTAAACAAAAATGGAATGAACAACAACTAGTAAAAAAAAAAAAAGGATGAAGCTGATAAAGGAATGAAAGATCCAATTCTTTTTTGTCAAATAGGATCCATTAACATAAAAGAAAATAAGCAACCAGATCGCGTTTGGACTCAAATAAATTCTAAAACTGCAAGTTTCTAGATATGGAGGGTTCTCAAACATGAAATAAGAGAATAAAATGAAGAGAGATATACGTGATTGAGGAGAGAAAGTTTTCAGGTTTCAGGTCGAAATTCTTTGATGTCTTAAATGTCTTTGCTTCCTCAATCAACTTTTTTAACACTTTCGAACAAAAAAGTTTTTTAACACATTTTTTAGCTCAGTCCTATTGACCGTTAGATTTGGTGATTTGATTCTGAACCGTTAGATTTGGTGCTTCGATTTCTCTTCTCCTCATTTCTTCTCTCACTCTCCGGCTCTGTGAGAAGAGAGATATGTTAAAGGTACGTTATTTACTACTCTGATATCTGAATTCCATTTGGATAAAAACTGAGTTGACAGTTAAAGTTGGGCTTTTCCTTTGATCTTAAACGAAAATTTGGCTCATTTGAGATTTGGGTTCGCTTTGTCAACTCTTTAAAATTTTTTGAATCATAATTTGGCTAATGCTTATTCTACTGAATCAAAAATTTTGACTATAAAAATTTCTATCCTTTTCTCTTCCATTCAATTTCTAATAGAATACAAGAGAAAAGAACGCAAAAAATTCTAACTTTTGAATGCTAAACTTTGAATCGGCTCTTTGCTTTCAAATACTTGGCTTTTGTCAAAAGAAAAGACAATGTGCCAAGGTGGACCCTTGAGCAGAACAAACTTCCTTGTTTCTTAGTACGTCATAAATGCATGATTCAAAAAAAGAATTAATTTTTAAATCTGGTTTTGCTTTTTCTAGGTTTTGATACGCTATATAACTTGATATTCAGGCGATGGAAGGGATGGAACAACGGAAGGATCAATTAGAGCAGTTGAAGATTCAATTGGAACCGTGGAAGAATCAATTGAAGCAGTTGTTGCATCAAGTAATTGAGTATTCGAATCAAATACCCCCATTTCAACTCTATGCTGCTATTGCTGTCTTGCTCGTATCTACCCTCCTGCTTTTGTCCAAGAAGTCCTCATTTCGCTATAAAGATTAATTGCAGAACAAAATGCTTGTTTGGTCAGTTGCTTAAAGCATATCTTTGAGATTATCATCTTGATCAGACATATTTAGACTGAATATAAAGCTACAAGATGTTATCTTGAAGTGCCTTACCATGGTTTTAATTTTATGAATTCCCGTTGAGCTAAGATGCTAGTGTAATCGTATTAGGTTGCAATGGCTTAAGGGATGTTAAGTTATATTTACTTATCTTTTTCATACTCTTTGTGTCGCAGTCCGCTTGTTCAAACGCACAAAATTAAATACCATTGTACTGACTGGCCTTGGTGGGAGTGGAAAAACTGTTCTTTTGTATCAGGTACGCAGTGCTATTATTTGCTTTGTTCCTTTTGAAAGTCGTAAAAGCTGAAATATTAAATTCTACTGTAGCATGTTATACCGAAGTAAGCTAAGATGTCCTGTTATGGCTGCCAAATGTGCAATATACTAGGAGATATGTATTCTGGTGAGCTAGGGTTTTAGCATAATTGAAATGCCTAGTGATGTGATGTCGTCATAAATTTCTTGACTTGATTCCTTGCCAGCTTCGAGATGGTTCAGCACATCAGGTTACTGTTACATCCGTGGAACCAAATGAGTGCACTTTCGTGCTAAATTCTGAATGTAATAAGGTAATTCATCTTAACTTTGGTTTTTGAGAATAGTTTACACTTTCTATTTTCCTACTATGCATATGGGTTAAGTCTCTTATTTCATTCTGTAGTCACCAATAGCGACTTTTGGATCATTGTCTGAAATTGTTGGACTCCAGACCCTTCCTTTTTTTTATCTGTTCTTGACGGAATAGCAAAATCAAGCCTGTGCATCTTGTTGATGTTCCAGGGCATTCTCGTCTGCAGCCCTAACTGGATGAGTTCTTGCCTCAGGCGGCTGGCATTGTGTTTGTTGTGGATGGCTTGGAGTTCTTACCAAACAGCCGTTTAATTGCAGTGTAGGAATAAGCTATGATAATGCCCATACTACACTTGCAAGTCTCTTCCTTCCACTCTCTGATTACCACGGAGGATTTAGATACTGTATTGCTTCTGTGCAACAGGTATCTGTATGATATTTTGACCAAGGCCAGTGTGGTCAAGAAGAAAATTCCAGTTCTCATCTGTTGCAACAAATCTGATACAAGTGATGGCGCATGCCAAGGAGTTCATCAGAAAGCTTGGAAAAGAAAATGTATGCCCAGAGTTCGTTTGTCTCAACATGTTCTATGTTTGCTTTATTTATCTTTGGCAATATCCCTGATTCTCTTAAACCCCTCTGCAATAGCTACTCCAGTTTTGTGCTAGACATTAACCTTTAATAGATAGAAACTTAGGATGTCCTACTCGCATAAAAACATGTATATATGCATTCTCTTTAATTTATACAGAGCTTGTTCTCTTTTGCATATTTATACTTAATTTGTCTGTTTTGACCCTTTTATAGTGATAAACTGCGGGCATTAAGAAGTGCAATATCTGCAGCTGATATTTCAAACGACTTCGCTCTGGGGGTACCTGGAGAAGCATTTGCATTCACTCAGTGTAGAAACAAGGTTAGCGTTGCTGATGCTTCTGGTTTGACCGGCAAAGTGGCACAAGTGGAACAGTTTATCAGGGAACATATGAAGCCTTAGGTTAAAGCATTCTATTACCTCTATGTCTCTGTAAAGCTTTGTTTAAAGCTGGTTTGAGTATTTCATCTTCAACGTTGAAGGAGCTTGTGAAGGAGGGTATCCATGGACACTCCAAAAGTTAGGATTTAGTGTTCAAAGCCCATACATGCTAAGCCATGACTTTAAGCCCATTTATTACCAGAATTTAAGACTAGGAACCCATCAAACCTTTTTCCAACCCCAACCCATTTATCATTTTCTTTGTGGTTCAAACTATGAAATGATGATCAAATTGTAAATGAGAATCAGGTTGTTGCAGAGAAGGCGTTGGTTGGTTTGCAGTATAGACGCTGTTGAGTCTTGACCGTATAGTAGCAGACTGGAGTGAGTGGTAGTACCAAGAGCTGAGCTGAGCTGAGCCACATCCCTCCATTTCTGGGACCCTTTTTACATTCTGATTTCTGAATTCTCTGCCTGCGTTCATGCTCTTGTGCTCTTAGTAGGTAGCAGAAATGACTAATATATTGCCGTCCTGAATTGCAAGGACTTAGAACTTTGTCCTTTTTTTTTTCTCTATTTCTATAGTCAAGTTAAGATGATAATAATAATAATAAAAAACTGAACATACTATATAATATTCTAGAAGGTGAGATTTTAAATCAAATCATAAGAGAATATATCTTATCAGATAAAAATTGGCATGTTAAAAATAAAGACTTACCTTTCTAAAAGTATCAAAGAAAGCAAAAGCAGCAATGGGCCATCCTCTCAAAATATTTCAAAAATGTCCTTAAACTATTCACCTGTGGAGGATATCACTCCCCGTGAGTTTCGTCCAACGTGATTTAAGCATAGATAATTGGCCGCCAGAGGCTCCACAGCTGGCCATATAACCATGATTTTAAGCTAAAATGTTTCGAGCATCTAAACTAGAAGATGGTAGAATTCTCCAAAGCCAACAACTTCATGAAGAATGAGAGCGTTTGACTCAAAATGGCAAAGAATAAAAGAAGGAATAGTTTAGGTGAAAAAAACATTTCGTTCTGTCATCTATAACAGTACTTTAAAGGAAGAAAAAGTTGCAAAACAAGCATATTATCTAACAATATCCATGATGAAATCACTGGGCGAAACTGGCGATCAAAACCAGAGTCAAGAAATGACATGTTTTCACGAGATGGAAAAGAAAAAAGATAATAAAAATAAGGTCCCAAGGGCCAAACCAATGATAAATGCAACTGAGCTGCTCCACCCATAAAAGCCTTCTTTTATTGTGTCTTGTTTGTTGGTTACATCTTTCAGATCACCTTTTTTTTTTTCCTATGGTCCCCATTTGACATTAATTACTGTCTTCTCTCATGTCCCTACTTTGGATCCATTAACTATGATCTTCGACATTAATATTTACTATTTTTTTCTTTTAGTTTTTAGAAAAGGGAAAAGTATATATTATACTTACAATATAATATCTTGGTTTTTCAACTTATCAAAAATAAATAAAAGTTGAAAATTAAAATAAATCCGATAATTTGTATATTCTTATTATATAAAATATTGATAATTCATATATTTATATAATAGTTTACACGAAAATTATATATAACAATTCATATCGATACGAAAATATAAAATATTTTTTTCTTTTGTTAAATCTATATATGATTTTTACTAAAATTTTAAAATGTATCATATTTATATATTTTATTCGTGTTATATCACTATATCATATTCTAAATTATCAAATCAAAATCAAAATATTTTTTAACATAAAAAGGAAAAGAAACATAGTATAATATATGGAATAAATTAATGCAAAGCATTTTTTAAAAAAGAATGCTTATGGGAAACTTAGAAATGCAATAAAAATATACTATACAACTTTATAGGAAGAAACTATGATTTATAGCCAATTTAGTATGAGATTAAGGCTTATATAAAAGATCACATCATGTCAATTAGATGGCATGAATAAAAAATGCATGGCCTGATCAAGAGTCCCAGCAGGCCCAAACGTGGCCCATAGATACAGCCAGTGTTCACTGAATAGATCTATGATCTGGCCCTTAGGTGATCCACAATTCTCACTTTTCACGCGCAGAGGAGTATCTCCAACAGCCTGCGGAAAAACAAATATCTTGGTCGTGCGACATCATTTCCACCGCACGCGCCAAAGATCTGAGCGTGAAAATCACCCAGTCTACAATGCAACCGAAACAGAAAAATAAAAAAGTTTAAAAACTACAACTGCTCCTACTGCGCAAGAAAATAAACAAATAAATAAAAGAAAAAAGAAAGTGGAGCCCACATTTTTTCTCTCTTTGTCTGTATGTTTCACATTGTCATCATCTCTCTCTACAGTTGTCTTTCTTCCTCTCTCTATAAATGGTGATGTGTACAATCATTTGGCAGGGAGGCTTTTAAAGACTTTTAACTTTTCCATCTGGGATTTCAGATTGCTTTCTTCTTTTTGAGTTCTTCAAAGCATAAACGAAATGCTTCTAACTTCGAACGAGCTCAGAATGCAAAGAGCTTTACTGGTTTTCTTCTGCTGCTTCTTCTTCTTAAGTTTCTTTCTTATAGATTTTTGAAGCCAGCCTTCTTGTTCTCTGAGATTTACTTTCATTTTTGTCCTTTTCTGTCAGGTATCTTTTTTCTCTTGACTTTCCTATTTTCTTTCTACCTTTGCTT